GAGTAGTTAATGAGTTCTGTGGGTGAAGCATCTTGAGCAAACCCAAGTCAGATGCTTGAGCAGACACTCCCTGAGCAGGGGCTGTCTGCAGGGAGTTCTTAAACGAGATTCCAGCTCTCCTTCAGAGGTGGAGCACCCAGGGAGGGTAATGAGCCTGCTAAATATAGTGAGGACACCGTACTGAATGGGGACATGGAGGGGCCGTTTGCATACCTAGCATTTAGGTCATGCAAATGGATGGTCTGAGAAAACCTTGTTATTCTTGGACCTCGGGGCTCTGTCTTTGGTTTCCTGAGGGCTGCCCTGATGTTCAGGGGATTCAGCAGCCGCCTCTGTCCTCGAAATTGAAGGACGTGGTTGGTATTTGTTTTATACTTCGTTGCAGAATTTTAAAAATGCTTCTTCGTATTTCCCTGCTAGCGAGGCAGAGGAGTGAACCAGACTGCCTTGTTTGTCCTCCTCGTCCTGTGTTCTGGAAAGAAGCTGTGTAGGAGTGTTGAGGACCACAGGCTGTGGGTGTCTAGGACATCCTGATCTTTGGGTTTGACTAATTTGCAAGAGGTAATGGCAGAAGGAATGAATGGAGATGATGTGGGGCCTATTCCATTAAGGACCCCATCCTCCTGAGTAAGCCTCAATTGAGTACACAGATTTTGACGGTTTTATTGTAAATATCTTATCACCGGTCAGACTTGCGACACCGATTTCCCCCAGAAGTGCTCTGTGTACCCTTGACAAGGGGAGAAATTATTTACGAGCCTCAAAGAGTGCCTGGCACTCAGTAGGCCTCAGTGCCTTCATCAGTAAGTGAATGCATGAGCAATCAGTACCTCCATACAACAAGCAATTTATTTGTCCTCCCTTCTATTTATAACAACCCAGAGCTTGGGGCTTGGTGGCAGCAGATTCTTATTCTCACTCTGAATAATGAGGAAAATCGTTTGACCTCTTTGGAACGCCAGGGCGTGCTGGGGGGCTGAGAGACAGCATGGGGGTGGCTTGGACCGAGGGGTGTTCAGTGTGGGGGTGGTGACGATTGTTGGGAGCTGGAAGTGGATGCTGGCCCTGAGCTTGTGGCCATTTCTCCAGCCGGGGACCAGGGACCAGCGAGCAGGGACCCGGCGGCCTGCAGGGATGCCGTGGTTCTGCAGATGCTGCTGACGGCGCTTTGAAGGATTGCTTTGGCCGGAGACCCACTCCTCAGCCTGCCTCCACTATGACTCATTCGGGCTGTATTATTTTGGTAGCAGAAAAGATCGAGATGAGATGAAAGAAGCATTTCTTAAGAGTCCGAGCTCCTCGGTATTAGATCAGCACCTCAGAAATATGATGTTCTTTACAGGTCACAGATACAGGCTTTTAAAAAAAATTATTGAGATGAAATTCACATAACATTAACTGCTTTCACGTGAATGATGGCGGTGGCATGTATAGTCCATTCACGGTGTTGTACGATCACCCCCCTGCCTAGTTCCATCACTCTAAAATAGAACCCCTTACCTGTGAAGTGGTAACTCCCCAGGTTCCCTTTCCCCCCAGGCCCTGGCAACCACCAGTCTGCTTTCCATCTGTATGGACTTACTGATTCTGGATCTTTCATGTACATGGAATCAGGCAATATTGTGACCTTTTGTGTCTGGCTTCTTTCAGTAGCGTGGTGTTTTTGAGGTTTGTCCACATCATGGCGTATATCAGATCATGGAGTTTTAACACTACCCCAAATACCCAAAGACAGCCTCTCTCCCAAACAGTGGGTCTTCCGGCTCCCACCAGTTGGATCCCAGGTAGTGCCAGTAGGAAGGGGAATGGACTAGATTCACTGCTCCCCAGATAAGCTGCATTACGGACACCCGGAGTGTCTCGTTTAAAAACAGGAATTCCTGGGCCCCAGTCAGAGAGGGATCTGAATCGGTAGGTCTGGGGTGGTTCTGTCAGCTGGGTTTGGGAGCCCCAGACCGGGTGACCTTTGGGGCATTAATGACTGCCGGTGAGCCAGGCCGAAGCTTCGGGTACCTCCGGATGCTGTGGGTTGCTGATGATGCAGTTTTTGTGTGTGGAGATTTTGGTGGCATGTGATTTTTTCTCTGCCTTCTGAGGGGAGGCATCGGGCCCCTCCCTGCTGCTTTGACATCTCCAATTAACTGCGTCTCATTTATCAAGTCCTTTATTTATTTTTTTTAAAGGTGTTTCACCAAGCTTGCCTTTGGCTTCCTTTGTCAGAAAGCCCTTGGACGTTCTGATGCTTGTCCTTTGCACTGCTCTCACCCCTTCCCCTCTGTTAGGATCGGTTGAGGGGCCTCATAAATCTCGTGTCCTCTGAGGAGAAAGACTTCAGCACGTAGCATTGAGACTTCTTTCCCACTCTCGTCACTGGAGGCTCTGTAACCTGTTCAGATTGTCACCTGCCAGGGGGACCGTTCTGAGGTTGCCCGAGTCAAATGTTGGTGGGCTCTTTCATGCCAGACCCTGAGAACTTGGGTGATTCTTCCAGGTGCCGAATCCTTTATCGTATCGATGTTCGCATACGTTCACTATTTATTCCCCTCTGTTCTAAGGGCGAGAATGTCTTTGGAGGGCAAAGACTTTTAGCCTGAATTCCCAGGGTGCTTGTGCTATTGGGCTTCTGATTTGTAGATGCTCCTAGATTCTTCCCAGCGGCATGAGCTGGAGGGCGAGTGGTGGGAGAACGGGAAGGCTGGAGTAAGGCCTCATGAGCTGCTACTGGAGATTGTCTCTGCTGCTTTCCCTCTGTAGCATTCTCGCTTACATTATTTACTTACTTCTATTTTTCATTCGTCCTTCTCTCTTGATGCCCACCTGGACGTCTCTCTGGGAACGAGAAGGGACATTTTGGAATGACGTATTTTCCTAAAAAATACCCAAAGGTCTTTCTCTTTACAGAAGTCTCATTTCAGATATTTTCCAAAAGCACTTGGATCCTGGATCAAATGAAACACAGGCGCTCCAGAGTCAGAGCAGGGTAGTTAAGGATTCGCTCCTTTGTCATCTTGTCTGCCAAGTTTGGGGCACAGGTGTCTGCCTTCTCCCTCGTGACATCTGAGAGCAGCTCGAGGAGGGGGGTGGGGAAAGTTAGGGCGGTGGTGGGACAGAACAGAAAGGGGAAAGGAGGTGTGGGGAGGGTTTTCTGCCGCAGAACCTCCATGTGAAGGCAGCTCAGAGGGCCCGTCAGCTCAGGCTTGGACTTTGCATCAGCCCAAAAGGGGAGGGTGGTGGGGGGATAGGCAGGTGGGATTGTGCGGAGGCTCCTTGGAGCCCAGAAGCTTGATTTCCTTCTACATGTGCCCCAGACAGCCGAGGTTGGAGAAGCTGGTGGAAGAGGCTTCTCCCAGACACTGCTCAGCAAGAGGGAGAGTGCATGTTCCTGATTTGGAGGGGGGGGCTTTGTCCTGATTCTGAGTGTTAACAACAGCTCTCGGAATTTTTTTTCTTATGGTCATCGGTTTGCTCTTCACACAGAGTAGGTGAAATGTGAGCTCAGGGCTTCTGAGATGCTGGCCCTCAGACTGTCTGTCTGTGTCTGGTTGAAAGAGGGAGAATAAAAGGAATGGAGTTAGTTTTTCATAAAGCAAAACTGTCTAAAAGAACTATTCTTATTCTGAGATCCTTATTCAGTTTTCGGTGTTTAACTGTCCTTTCTTTAAAAAATGACGGTGGTTGGGCGCCTGGGTGGCTCAGTCATTAAGCATCTGCCTTTGGCTCAGGTCATGATCCCAGGGTCCTGGGATGGAGTCCCGCATCGGGCTCCCTGCTCAGCGGGGAGCCTGCTTCTCCCTCTGCCTGCTGCTCCCCCTGCTTGTGCTCTCTGTCTCTCTGACAAATAAATAAATAAAATCTTTAAAAAAAATAAAAATAAAAAATGACGGTGATTATGGTGGTCATGTTGCTTAGGAGGGCTAGCTGCATAACGGACGGATCCCAGAAGCTCAGTGGCATAAATGGATCCCCTAATTGTAAGGAGTTCAAAGTGAGTGTTACTGACTAGTGGAGGGCTTTCTCACTGGCGACGTGGGCTCCTTCCTCCTTGTGGTTCCACCCTCACCTGGGGCTCTGGAGTCCTCAGTGGGGCCTGCGGATGGGGAAGAGGCCGAGGGCTGGCAGGGGCTGGGGCTGGTGGCCCTGACCACCTTCCCTCATGTTCTGAGGCCAGAAGTCAGGCCACACCCCACGGCAAGGCAGCCTGGGCACGAGTCTGCTATGTCTTCAGGGAGCAGAGGAAACCGGTTCAGAGAACAGCAAGTTCAGCTCGACACAGTGGCTGTTTTTGTTCCTGTCCTTACCTGGCAAAATGGAGTTGGCCAACCAATCCTCTGCTGGCCTTTTTAATTAATTTTCATCTTACTGGTTTACAAAACCCAGAAGTCTAGGAACTACTGTTAGCAAGAATTCGAAGGTCATTTCTGGGGAGTCCTGGAAAATATTTCCTTACTTGGGACCCTTCAAAACTAATTAAATAAAACTTGTACCGTGATGTTTTTCTCTTGTTCCTCCTTGCGAGGCGCTCAGGACGAGCCATGTCACCTGTCAGCCAGACAGGGCACCAGATTGAACGGAGGTTTGAAAGCCTGTGGTCTTTCTGGCCTGTGCACTCTTTCTGAATGAGGAAGATGTGTCTGTTTCGGTTTCAAGGCCTTAGGGGAGTGCATGACCCCCCTATGGGTTAGGGATGAAAGTAACCGGAGATAGATTACGCAAAAGACAAGAAGAATAAGAAAGTCACTTGTTATGCCAGAGAGAGCCTGAGAAGATTTTTTTGCAATCCACTTATATCCAAAATAGCAGGGAATTTGTATTTCTTCTTGGGGAAGTTGTGTCTTGTGGAATCTGCACTGGGGGATAAATAGGCCAGCCTGGCCCCGTGCTCCAGATCTCAGAATCTTAGCTGTTTCTGAGTGACAAAGGAGGAGAGAGTCTTGCTTTAGAATATCGTGGCCCTCACTCATCGTGGGTCCTAATTCCTGTGTCGGTTTGATCTCTTTCAGGTTAGTCTGAATGATTCCCACAATCAGATGGTGGTGCACTGGGCCGGAGAGAAAAGCAACGTGATCGTGGCCTTGGCCCGGGACAGCCTGGCCCTGGCGAGGCCCAGGAGCAGTGATGTAAGTATTGGTGCTGGTCTGGGCGCTCCTCTGTGAGGCCACCAACATGCCCTCTTGGAATCTGGCGGGGTTATCATGCCAGTAAAAAAATAGTGTGGGTAAGTAGAGGATGAATGGATGGGATACATTTTACAACAGGGAAGAGAATCTGAACAATAATAAATACCCCTCGTTTGCCGAACAGAGGGCGGTGCAGGCCATTTTGCAATGAGATCCGTGTGATGCGTGATTACTTTTGTCAAGTGATCAGGTTTGATCTGGATTGTTGGGTCTGCTCTGCAAAATGCCAGAAGCACATTCCGGGCAGAGCTGCCCGTCCGCCCCAGAGCCCGATGGGACCCCTTCCAGTGGGGTGGGTTCTTGACTCTGATGTGCTCATATTCTCGGTTTTCACGGTTGGCTTTCTATATAGCATTTAAGAGTTTAGGTACTTTGAAGACGAGACACCAAGGGTCACAGACTCAAAGGCCCGTGAGAGACCAGGTGGGTAGTGGCAGGAGAAGCCTGCCTCCCAGTTCACCATGTTCTTTCTTCCAGGGAGGAAAACGGTTTCTCCCATTTTTCTTGAAGTGTGTGGCCTCCTGGGCCAATGTGTCATTTTCCCACTTTGATAGAGATGCAGGTTCAAGAAGCATTCACCTGTTAATTTGAATGTGGTGATTGATCCTTGGTCTCTGTGTCCGTGAAGCACTGAGAAGTAGAAGGGATTTGGTGCTTGGGAGGGGCTGTTGTCATCGGTCTTAGTTCTGGTTGCCATGTAGGGCCCGGCCTTGCCAGATCTGATTTCCGAGAGAAGCTCAGAGGTCTGGGTTTTTACGTGAAAACTGCAGAGTCTTACAAGTTGACAGCTCATGTATCGTTTGTACAAATACTGGGCGGGCCAAGTACAACCTATACAAGGGCCAGAGCTGGTCCTTGGGTCCCATGTGTGTGGCCCCGGCTCCAGACGTCCCCTTGTGGGAAGAGGGCCAGCCCCTGCCTGGGGTCAGGGACGGATGTGGCAGGGTGAAACCTGTGGACAAAGAAACACCGCGTGGAGCTTTGTTCACTCTGCGCTCTGGCCAGAGGGAACCTCCTGGTGAATTTCCTAGCACTGTCACATCAGCCCGAAGGAAACTCGGCATTCTTGAGTACAGACCTGGTCTCTGTGAGATCCCTCTCTGTGTATCCGCTGTCCGGCTTGGTTGTGCTCCTAGGTAGGTGCCTGGAGGGAGCACCGGTGGCTGCTTTCTAGTGGGTTCAGTGGAGACAGCCACAGACAGGGAGGGCGGTAGAAGGGCTATAATGTAGAGCTTTTGTCCAGGATGGCTGCTGAGCAGGGGCGGGTGGGAAACCGTGGTCATTGACAGCCAGTTTGGATGTCGTGCTCTGGAGCAGGGCTGGACTTTTTGGGGGGCAGTGGCTTTGGCCTATTTATAAATGCGACCAGGGTTTGTGAGCACAGACGGCAGCCTATGGATGCTGCTGGTCCCGTGAGGCCCCGAGGCACCTGTGTATATACTCAGTGCGGTCACGGCCTGCACACCCCTTCATGGCTACCCCTTTTGAGCACCGGAAACCGCTCTGGGCCCTACTGTGTTGAGAAATCCTCCTTAGCCTTTTTCTACGTTTAAAAAATTCTTTGTCTAGATAATATTTTTTTACGAGACAGGTAAAAGACCTTAACCGTTGTATTACGGCTTTGCTGGACAAACAGGAGCCTGGAGACATGAAGTGGCCTGCTTGAGGTCACTCAGTAGTGGCTCCCGAGACCTGATCACGTGCCCGCTGTGTGAGGCGTCATGTTGCCAACGGGACCCACTCGTCTGGGTTTTTGCCCTCAAAGCCCTGCGTCCTGGGAGCCTCCTCAGGCCGGGGGTCACCCTGGATGGTTGGTCTGCCCACATATGGCCTGTCTGCCCAAACCCCATTCTCACTCTAACTATCTGGGTGTGTCTGACCGAGAAGCCATTGAACATGGGACGCGATACACCATTCTGTAATGAAATACACGATAAGATTACACGGGAAGGAAATGCCATGCTCGGAGATAATAAACGGGAGTGGCAGAGATTTACCCCCGTCCGCACACAGGCTACATTAAAGACTTGGCAGCTGAAACGGAGATGTTCTGATGTGAAATGTTAACGCAGAAATAAATTATGACTCGGAGGCTGGAGTTGGTGGTGCGGGCATCGTAGCAACCCCGACTTTCTTGAGAGAAGAGTGGGAGCACGGTTCGTAAGGCCCCGTCAGCTGTCCAGAAGGGAAGGGACCAGTGTAAGTGAGGAGCTGTGTGTGTGTTGAAGAATGGCCAAGTCATGCATATTCAGTATATTAAAAAGGGACGGATCTGGAAGCTGGAATCCCGGAAGGTTTGCTTTTCAACAGAAAAAAAAAAAAAAATGAATAATGTCCCGATGAACTGGTAGCAAGTGTGATTCCGTGAGGACTGGCGGCTGCATTCCAAAAGGAATGCCATCTTTTTCTCTGATAGTCTGGTTGATGAAAGGAGACAATAGGTATTGTTATCTTGAGCCTCCCCGCTTATCTCTTTCCGCCCTCTCCTGACAGAGTTTGCAAAGGTACTCAGGTGCAGCCACATTGGCCAAGGAGCTCTGCAGAGATCGTGTCCACCGGAAGATCAGAATCAACCAGGGAAGGTTTCAGGAAGGGTAGGACTTGCTGCCTTTGCCCCCAGAGTGGCGTGACGTTATGATTGGTGCCCCCCAGGATGGACCGGGGAGCAGGGCCAGCTCTGGGTAGCTTGCTAACAGGGTGGAACTTGGGAGCCCGTGGAGCTGGTGTCTCGCTGACCTTTGGCTCTGAAATCAGAATGCCTGGGGTTGAATCCTGGCTCTGCCGTCCGTTAGCAGTCGGACCCTGAGCCGAGTCATTAACCTTCTATTGGTCTTCTCATCTGTCAGTGAGATAGTGCTTGTAAAACCTTGCTCCCCAAAGTATGGGCTGTGGGTCAGCAGCCAGGGGTGTTTTCTGGGAGCTGGTTAGAAAGGCAGAATCTCAGGTTCTACTCCAGACTTCCTGAATCACAGTCTGCATTGTGACCTACATTGTGCCAGGTGACTTGTAGGCATGTTACCGTTCGAGAAGCACTGGTGTGAAGGACTCAGAACGGGGCTAGATAAGGAGATGTTTTCTGTACATTTCAACCCTTCTTTCCTTCCTCTCTGCCTCCGCTCTCCATTCTGCCTTTTCCCCTCCTTGCTTCTCAACCTTCTCATTATTATTATTACGCTGTTTTAAAGTAGGGAGAGAATCCAAAACCACTCACATGGAAGGACCATCTTTATAGGTGAGACAGTGATGTAACCAGCAACTTTGGCAGTTTTAGGGACTCCTCCCGTTTTATTCTGTTCTTTTAGGGAGTCATGTCTTAGAGAAGTCAGAGAGGACTGATCAGTGCAGAACCTGTGCCTGGAGGAAAAAAAAAACTCTATGGGAGCACAAAGATGAGCGAGTATAGGATGTTTGCCCAGATTCACCTGGAGAGCACAGTGGAGAGCAACCTGGCGCTCCCTGGGAACTGAAGCAGAGCATACAGTGGGGGTGCAGTGTGGAGACCACGAGGCCGTCAGCCCACTCGGCATTATCTGAGCACTGGCAGAGGCCTTTTCTGGGCTCCTCGTTGTGGAGGAGGGTGGATAGCTGTGCACAGCCCTGAGCTTGGTCTTTGCCCTGTGGAGCTTAGGGTCTAGGTTAATCCAATAGAAATAAGAATTATGAGGACAGGATAAAAATATCATGTTGGGATGGTTCGACCTGGAGCAGAGGAAGCAGGTTGATGAGTCATTTACAAGTGTCTTGAGGCGTAGGATGGGCCCTTACACACTTACTCTTGACTTCTATTAAGTATAAGTCGTAAAGAGATGGGGATTGTTTACAGGTGCATATTAAGGAAGAGCTTTTTGGTAGTGAGGGCTGTTGTCTCTCTGAGCGTGAAGTGACAGGTGTGGCTGAGGATCTCAGAAAAGGTCTGTGTTTTGTTAAGGTTGGTGTTTTACCCCTTCTTTCCCCCCACTCCTTCCACTGCCCGGCCTGCAGACTCAGTGTGTGATCTCCCCCTTTAACAGAGCACCATATGTCTGTAGCAGAGAGCAGCCTCCTAGAAGGGTAACTTGCAGGGGCGCCTGGGTGGCTTAGTTGGTTAAGCGACTGCCTTCGGCTCAGGTCATGATCCTGGAGTCCCGGGATCGAGTCCCACATGGGGCTCCCTGCTCGGCGGGGAGTCTGCTTCTCCCTCTGCCCCTCCCCCCTCTCGTGTGCTCTCTCTCTGAAATAAATAAATAAAATCTTTAAAAAAAAAAATTTTTTTTAGAAGGGTAACTTGCAAGAGTGGAAAGACAGATGGACCAGGGACTAGAGGGAACCCATTATGTTTTGTCAACTTCCAGGCTATATGACCACTAACTTCTCTGAGTCTTGGTTTTTTGTCATCCTATTAAATGGAAATAATTCCTCATTCACTCACTCACTGATTCATTCATGTCACTCTCTTTTTTATTCATTTGTGGGACATATTCATTTACTTCACTCTGTGGTTTATAGTGATGTTTAATTCCAGAAATCTTTACTGAGCAATGTGCGATATTCTAGGTACACCGAGGGAGGCAGAGTGAGGCTGACCCACAGAATTTTTTTTTTTTAAAGATTTTATTTATGTAGTTGACAGAGAGACGCAGAGAGAGAGTGAACACAAGCAGGGGGAGTGGGAGAGGGAGAAGCAGGCTCCCCACTGAGCAGAGAACCCGACGCGGGGCTCGATCCCAGGACCCTGGGATCATGACCTGAGCCGAAGGCAGACGCTTAACGACTGAGCCACCCAGGCATCCCTGACCCACAGAATTTTTTTTTTTTTAAGAACAGAGAGAGAGACAGCGAGAGAGGGAACACAAGCAGGGGGAGTGGGAGAGGGAGAAGCAGGCTTCCCGCCGAGCAGGGAGCCCGATGCGGGGCTCGATCCCAGGACCCTGGGATCACGACCCGAGCCGAAGGCAGACGCTCAATGACTGAGCCACCCAGGCGCCCCCCACAGAATTTTTTAAGATGAAGAGCGATAACGTATACTGAAAAATGCTATCCTAATATGACTTATTATCACCTCTGTGCTTCTGAGGAAGTAACTCATAGTGGATTATCAATTTTGGGGACGTTGGAGCTGGAGGGGGCCGAGTTCCCTTTTAGAGAAGCCATTAGTTCAGTACATCTGGTGTCTGAGCCTAACAGGGACTCTCAGTGTCCATTCTGGGCCAGGAGAATGGAAGTGAGGAGGCACCACTTTGTCTTTTTACTCACTCAAATCCTCTGTGAGCTTCTCAACCTGCTGCATTTTGAGGCTGCTTTGATGGCAACCCCTCACTGTGTGCATGGCAGTTGGGGACACGCTGTGTGTTGTAAGCATGAGCATTCGTAATGGGGCTTCTTCCACTGTGGCCCAGATATTGGCAGAGGCTCTCTCTGTGCTCTTCTAACCTTGACATCTAATAAATATTAACGCCCCGTGTGTGTTCTTGCTTCCCTTTGTACCTGCCTCGTGTAGTTCGTTGTTTACAAGGGTTGTTGCTTACAAACGTTTGTACGTTTACAATGTGTGTAAAGGCCATGTCTTTGCATATCTGGCACTTAGCACAGCCCCTGGCTCCTGACAAACCCTTCAGATGTGTACCTGTGCTGGGATGAGTCCAGCCGTTCCCATTCTTGTTGCAATTCACCTGTCATTTTCCTTTAGAACTTACCCCAGTCCTAACTATTATTAATATTCTGTTCACCTATCAGGCTTGTTTTTAATCCTCTGATTATGTTGATTTCACATTGCCTAGGTAGTCAGTCTACGTGCAAAATACCTGGCGGCTTGTATCCCGCCATCCATTACCGGAGGTGTGATGGCTTTGGGATTTCTGCCTTTGGAGGCAGGCAGCCTGGATCACATTTCCACGCTGCTACTTACCTTCTCTGTTACTCTGGCAAGAAACGAATCCCCTAAGCCCCTGCTACCTTATCTGGAAAGTGATTTTAGTAACTGCATTTGCCATGCAGGGCTGTGGGGAGAGCTCCCTGAGCTCTTTCACACGAGGAGGGCAGTACGGTATCTGGCACCTAGGAAGCGTGCCGTGAGTGACAGTTCCTCTTACATTTTACCTCCGTGGTTACTGGGTGGCTGGAGCCCCGCAAGCAGGAGGCCCGGCTCCTGGCTCCTGGGCTACTGCCACCCCCCCCCGCACACACACCCCCACCCCCGCCAGGTAGTTGCATCAACATGAGCGAGCGTGATGAGTGCTGGGGCCGGGGCGTCTTGAATCTATACATTCGACCTCCGTGCATATCGAATCACTCAGCACTTTTCTTTCTCACCTGTTGGACTTCTCCGTGGAGGCCTGGGAGGGTTTCCTTTTTCATCCTCTGCAGTGCTGGAGCAACAGACCTTCCCAGCAGAGGGTTGAAGAATGAGATTACCTTTTGGGGACATTTCAGCAGATGGCAAAACAAGTCCCCGGTCCCTCCCCGTCAGACAACCACATTCAGTCTGCCTCTGGATGTAATTGGTTAGACACTCAACCCGGCCATGGGGAGGAGGTCATCATTGTTTCCATCCGTGGGTCCCCCTGGCCCCCCTGCAAGGAAGCATCCTGGCCTCAGAAAGGAGCCTGTGTATTGCGGGCAGCAAGGGGCTGTGGCGCTCCTGGGCTTCCTGCCCCCCACATGGTTGGGGGGCGGAGGGAGAGGTGCCCTGCTTATCCTTGGTGCATCATCTCTTCACATCTGTCGTGTCCTGACGCCGGGGACCCGTCGGGAACATCGTTCGGGATCCAGGGCGGGACGTTGACAGGTGCGGGCAGAGGGAGAGGTCTCTCGGCCACGTTTTTCACCAGCTCTTCTTCGTCCTCTCCTCCTCCCTGATCCAGGTGTACGTGTCTTACGACTATGGAAAATCATTCAAGAGAATTTCCGAGAAATTGAGCTTCGGCTTGGGCAACAGCAGTGAAGCGGTGATCGCCCAGTTCTACCACAGCCCCGTGGACAATAAGCGTGTAAGGAGGCGCCATCCCGCCTGTCGGGACTTCAGGGGGCTGAATTCCGGGACGTCCGCTGTGCTAACCGGGGGGGCTGGGAGAAGGAGCTCCTCGTCATCATCTCTGCAGTGTGACCCGTAGCCAGGGACTGTTTTTCCACTAACCAGGGAGTTTAGCAGAACACAGGTGTCAGGGTGGAACCGTGCATAATCGGGCAGGCCAGGTTCTGGCCAGGCAGGATTTCTGGACAAAGCGTCAGGCTAACGTGCAGAAAGAAAATCCCCCAATCGATGAACTGCCTGTCTCACAGGTGGCAAAAATGAGACCTGGGTTTACTGGGACTTTCACCACCGTGTGATGCACATCTTCCAGAGTGCTTGCCGGATGCTTGATTTTGTGGGCATCACGTGTGTGTGTGTGTGTGTGTGTATACACACGCATGCGTGCACCCCCACCCCCAGCCTGTACCGGCCTAGAGAAGAACACCAAGGCAAGGCGGCAGATACTGCTGTGCTTCCGGATTTGTTTTCCTGGCTAGCTGGCCTGGGGCTCAGTTTCTGCAGTAGACCCCCGGGCAGTCGGATGTGGAGGAAGCATTGATTTGAGATTGCCCTGGGCCCCCAGAGAGGCGGAGGGGGAGGCGGAGGCGGAGGCGGAGGCGAGAGGGCAGGAATCAGGCAGCCTGCAAGGTTAGGTTGCTTTAGCTTGGAGAGTTGTATTTGATGGCTCTCTCCCGCACTCTGGTGAGCCCTAGCTCGTTTCCAGAGGCAGGATGACTGCTCCTAAGAATGTTCAGGAAGCTCCGAGGTAAGGGTAGCTGCTGTTCTTTGCTCATCCAGAAAGGAACAAGATCCGCACGGTCCTCTGGCCAGGTGCCCCCCAACACTGGCTTCTCGGGTTGCCTCTATTCAAAATATTTAGCCACTGGAATGGCACTGGCCAATCAGAACAGAGCCAGTCTGGAGGGAGCTGGGTCCTGAAGGCCACCCTGCCTGGCCAGGCATTAACCTTTTAGTTGCCGGATGGTGGACAGGCCCTGGGGAAGGGGCCAGGCCACTGGTGCTTAGGAGGGGCCTCTCTCGGGTTTCAAGGAAGCAGCTACGTACTAATGGGTATAGAAATAATTTTTTTTTTTTTTAACTAGACTAGCTACTACTGGTACATACTGGTTAATATTAGCCCTGCCTGATGATCTCAAAACAGAGGAACAGTTAGGAACAGCTCCCCTCTTACCTAACTCGCTCCACGATGAAAAGCAAGGAAGAGGTGTTGGAGGGACTTGGCTCTGGAGACAAGAAGGCCCGCCCTCTGCACCCGCTCCTCCCACTGCACTTGGTTGGGCAGGCCTGGGGCTTGGGGCCCCCAGGGTTGGGTGGGCCCTGCTGCCCGATTTGCGATTTGCTCTCGGCTTCTGAGAGGTGAGGCTCCCTGCCCCCAGGGTCCGGCTTGCTGGCTGTGCCACATCTCCCCTGGATAGAGCTGTGTGCCCCCTGCCTTCCAAGGAGCAGATGACGCTCCGATTACTCACCTTGTCCGGAGGTACCTGTTGATTATTATTATCATTATCTTTACACATTGTCCCAGAGCTAACTCTTACTGCCTTTGTGGCCTTGGAACCATTCTGTGGTCCCTCCAGAATCTTCTTTTTGAGCTCCATCTGCCCCCTCCTCACCTCCTACCACAAGGGCACAGATGTCTGCCAGCAGGTCCTGACTTCCTTCCTGCTTGTCATGGGTTGTGGTGAGCAGTTGCTAGGCCCACACGCACGTCTGAGTAGTCAGAAGACAGGAAAGATGATGTTCTGGGCTTGCAGAGCAGGTTTGGTGCAGGGGGAGAGGGGCTTTTGGAGCATTAGGTCTGGAGAAGGAGCAGGGCGGGGCCAGGGCGCTGGGCAAGCAAGAAGAGAACGCCAGGCATGGTCGTCAAGGAGTTTGGGGTCCTGGAAGGGCAGGGCATGCCTGCAGCCTGGGCGCTCCCTGTGTGGGAGGTGGGGCATCCTGGGCTTCTCACGGGAGAGGTGGACGTACTTTGGGAGTTGGTGGGGAGAGGGAAGAGGAACCACCTTCTTGGAAAGCCTATTGACAGGTGGAGCACGGGCCTGGAGCAGACTGAGTGGGGTTAGAGATGCAGCATTCTCTGCTGAGTTTCTGGTTCCCCAAAGAAGGTCGTTACCCCTCCCCAACTTCTCAGGAAGGAAACTGTGACTCTCACTGTGCCAGTTACTTCTGTTACTTTTGTCTTTGTCCCCTGGAAGGCAGATTGCCTCACCGGACCTACCACTTCCTGAGAAAAATCGTGCAGGCTGGGTGCCTTGCTGTCAACACCAGCAGGGTGCTGGGCCCAGGCACATCCCCCGTGTGCAGACATGAGGGGCGCTGTCAGGGAGCAGGGTTTGAAATGGTTGAAATGACCTTGGGCAGCGGCTTGGAAAGGTGAGGATGTCCCGTGAGGGCCACATGGAAGCCTGAGCAGGTGTGTGCCCGTGGAAGGGGATGGGAAGGGCTGGTTAGGCAAGCAAGCTCCGCTCCAGTGGTTTTGCTTTGCGATGGAGATGGACTGGCTGTGGGGTCCTGTGAGCATTTGGGTCTATTTTTGCACCTGCCAGCAGCAGCCCACTTCCTTCTCAGCTGCCTCCCTGAAGCAGTGTGCAGCCCTAGCCACCTGACAGTGCTGCAACACCCCCCCGCCCCGCCCGGCGCACCCGAGGTCAGCCATGCAGTACGTCTGGGGCTCCTTCCAGAAGGTTCCAGAGTGTGCAGCTAGGCTTCCCAGCCTCGAGAGGTGGGCCCCTCTGTCTTTCCCTTCACTCTCACCTTATGGAGGTACGTTCCTTCGTTGGCCTCCTCCGCCCTTCCTCCTGTCATCGTGCTCCTGGTCCCCCCACCTGAGACCTGGAGAGAATCACTTAGGCTAACACGGAGGTGCATTCTGTAGCTTATTTTATGCTTCTAGAGGTATTTGTGTTTTAAGAGGAAACATGGTTTTAAGCCCAAAGCGGAACATTCAGTGATTGCAAACAGGGCGGGAGAGGTGGGGGTGACTGAGGACACTTCTGAAATCGCACAGTCTAATCACACAGGCTAGTAAGCACCTGCTAGGTCGGCTGTGCTGGCAAATCTGTGGGGCTGGCCTCGAGGAGGCTGAACAGGCAGGCAGTCCAGGGACCTCACGGCAGAGTGGGACATGCTGCACTTCCTGTCCCTTGCTCGGGTGGCATGGTTACATCACAGTCGTGCCTCAGTGATCACGGGAAGCCACGGGGGGTGGGGCTGGGCATTAAGCGAGGTCAGGTCAGAGAAGTAAAGGCTTCATGGGGTACTGGGGATTGGAAATGGAGCTGCAAGGACGGGCCTGGTTCCAGTAGCTGAGCAGAGTTGGTGGGAGTCCATGAGGGGGAGAAGGCCCTGGGCAGAGATGTCAGGGTGCCAGTCTGTGGTTTCTGTACAGGCCGGGGGGAGACTCACTTCTCAGGGATGGAGGGCTGGCGCTGGGGCACTTTGAGACACCAGGCAGGTGAAGATGGAGGGGTTTGCTTTTTGCCTCGAGGACTGTGGGGAGCCATGGAAGGATCTTAGAGTAGGGGACTCGCTATAAATAGAGTCTTCTAGGGAAATGCGTGTCCTGGCAAGAGGCAGGAGGGTCGGAAAGGGGAAAGATTAGAGAGGGGTCAGGAAGTCATGAGGGGGGTCGTGGTAATATAGGCATGACGTTGCCCGGTTCCTCAGCCAGACGTTGCAATTGCCCTCTGAGTATTTCACACCCTGCCAAGGCCTGGAAGACACAAGGGGGCCTAAAAAGCCCAGTGCCCGGCCCCAGTTTGCTCATGGACTCCAGTAGGGAGTGGGCCACATGGGTAGCACTGGGGATACAAAGGAGAGCAGAGATTATGAAGAGACATAACTGGGTGGGTGGCTGATGGGGCATGGGGCCGAGGCAAGGCAATGGAGCGGAACCCCAACTCTCATTGTGAGGACTGTGGCCTGGGGCAGCTGTAGCACGTGGAGAGCTTGGGACGCGGCCGGATGGCGTCGGAAGACGCTGTTTTGGACGACGGAGTGAAGTATCTCGGCGCATCAGAGGGGAGATGCTGAGGAGGTCAGAAGTCAGGGTCAGACCATAGATCCATAGTCCTGACGTGCCTGATCTCAGCGGTGGTAGTTGAAGCTGCGTGGAGGATGGAGCAGGTTCGTAGCAGAGGACGGAAGAGCGATGAGGTTATGCAGGGGTGGGGAGCGACGAAGGGGAAGAAGGAGCAGGAGGAGGGTCAAGGACGGGGTGGTCAGGTGTGGGGCACGGAGCCTTGGCATGAGACGGGGTCACCCAAGGCCAGGGAGGGAGCTGCCACTACAGACTTGAGGAGCTGAGTGAGAGGAGGCGGCGCGTGGATGAGCCCGGGGGCACAGGGTGAGACCTAGGCATGAAATTCTGGAAGTTCTGCTTCTTTGTTGGAGGAAGAGAAGAAAGGATTTGGTGAACAGTGAAGGGGTGGGCTCCGAACTGGCCAGAAATGGCTGTAGATGCTGCCTCCTGGCTCACCTTGGCCAGTTAACCTCTCTGCGCTCCAGTGCCCTAGTTAGTAAAGGAGGATAAGACTGTATCGAAAGCACTGCCTGGCCGTGAGTACCAGAAGCATGACATGAGCTGAGGATGAGCATGAGCTAAGGCATGCACAACTTGTCTGCTCAGCGCTTGGCATACACTAAGTGTTCTTGACACATTTTTTTTTAATAAACTCTATGCCCAACGTGGGGCTCGAACTCAACCCCAAGATCAAGAGTCGCAGGTTCCACCGTCTGAGCCAGCCAGGCGCCCCTGGTCTGGACACATTGAGCTATTATCATGAATGACAGATAATACGTTTTATAACCGGCTACATGATTTTTATATCTTCAAATGTGAAACCCCTAGAAACCATGGAATAGATGTCTGGAGAAGTCTTTCTAAACTGAGAGCACTCCGTTCCCTAGTAACCAGGATGGTTTCGGAGCAGGAAGATGGGCTCCATCATTTCTGGGGAACGCCTTTTATGCCAAAAATGATGATGGTCCTCTTAGGATCATAATTGTTTTTACAACATTGCATTTGCTTGTGGTCGTTTATGCTTTCAAAACATTCGCTTGCCTTTATGGTTAGATTTAATGAGGCTCCTACAGAGTTTGGAGTTCTACGTTAGATGCCGTGGAAGAAACACGAGAGAAAGAACATGTAGAGTGCACTCCTGGGAATTGGGGAAGGAAAAGCCGAAGGTGAAGGAGCAAGAACACGTGGACGCAGCGTCAGGCAAGCACAGAGTATTAGGACATGCCTAAGCTGCTTGTGCCAAAAGGATTCTGAGCTGAAGATTGATCTGGGTCAGAGGCAGTCAATGAGGGGAAGTGTGCTTGGACGGGTTCCTTTGGATTGTTGATTTCTGGGATTTCAGGGACTCGTTGGTGCTTGGAGCTGGGTCCCCCTTGCTCTGGTTCACGGTGGGCCGCCGAGCCGCCCTCACCCTTCCGGGAACAGGAGGCTGCCCTTCCCATCTCTCATGTGCATTCCAGGCCTGCTACTATCTGTGCTCTGTAGACCTTTCCCACAGGCCCTCCTGGCTGTCCTCAAGTCCGTGCTCTACTTTTTTTTCCCTTTTTTTCCCCAAACTCAAACTGCCCTCGACTTGGGATGTTCTTTCCCTCTGAAAGTCTTGCCTGCCCTTCGAGGGCCAGATCTTCCCTGGAGTCACTTCTGATCTCCCAGACTGGAACTCCTCTGGACTGCGTGCTTTTCACAGGACTCTGTCCGTGGTTCCCCACTGAATCTCATTTTCCCTTGAGTTACAGTCACCCATGATCACGTCTATCTTTCTCCCATGCGAGACTGCAAGGATTCTGGGTTTTCACCGTGGAACCTGCAGCTTCCGGTCCACGGGGAATATTCAGTGCACATTTGTGAAGTTGAATTGCCTCGGTCCTTTCTCCTGGAGAACTCTCTAGGCTGGCGGTCACTCTGCAGTCCCACTTGTTCAGGGCCACTTACCTGTGCAGGGCTAAGTCAAGTGAAGCCCCTGCTCGCCAAGCTCTTCCTGCCGGGCCCCAGAGTGAGGCAGCCGGCCCCACTGGCAGCTGGGTCCTCGGGGCTGCCCCGTCCCCTTGCCTAGTGCCCAGAACATCCTCCTAGATGGGTGTGATTGTAGGGATTTCCCATAGCTGCTCAGAGAATGGAGGGAGGGAAGCAGGCTTACCTGTGTGCAGCCAGTCTGAAGAGCAGGCCTTCTGGGTCCCAGTCATCCTCTGATGGTGCCTGAGTGACCTGCCAGAGGGTGAGAATGGCCAGGTCAATTCAAAGAAAAAATAGGCTTGACCAGCTCAATTACCTGCTGAAAGGAGAGCCTGTCCTGCACCCCTTCCTTCCCAGAGCCTTGCTTGGTGGGCACCAGCATCTCCTCCTGGCCAGGAGATGGGGAGGAAGCCGAGTGGGGGCCCTGCAGGCCCCCGGCCCCGCACACACTGCTGGAGGGAGTTGGGGGGTGGGTATTGGGCAGCCCTGGCCAGGTCCCGCTCTGAGCTTGCCTTGTTTCTCTTGCAGTACATCTTTGTAGATGCTTATGCCCAGTACCTCTGGATCACGTTTGACTTCTGCAACACTATCCAAGGCTTTTCCATCCCGTTCCGGGCAGTTGATCTCCTCCTGCACAGCAAGGCCTCCAACCTTCTCCTGGGCTTTGACAGGTCTCACCCCAACAAGCAGGTAAGGGAGCTTCTGGAACACAGGTGGGGCTTCTCCGGTTTTCTGTTCCTGCCCGTGGGGATTGTGTGTCCTCTGACTGACCTCCCCCAGCCCCTCCTTCCTCCTCTCCCAAGCTTAGACTTTGTACTAGTTGAATTCCCACGGCCGAGGAAAACCGTATCTCCCTGGCACTCTCCGTCTGCCTCCCAGCCAGGGGGCAATGCCAAGCGCTCGGCAGGCCCTTGTAGCCAGACATCATGCCCTTCTCCGTGTCGATGCACCTTTGTGGGTTTGAGGTGGGGGGGTCCATCGAAACTCTGGAAATTATTCACACAGAGCCAGCTAAAGCCTGGAGTCTGAGCTCTGCTGGGATCTCTATCTTGAATTTCTGTTCTACCTTCCCCATCCTCTGCCTCAAACAACATACTGCTTTTGTACCATTTATTTGAAATTATCATTAACTTAAATTTTTTTCCTACGTGTGTGTGTTTGTGTGCCTTTAATATAAATATGTGTATTTTTCTCCTTAAATCTGGACTTGAAGGAGAGTGAGATGGGGAGACAGCCCAAGTGGGATTTATCTCTCAAGGTTGAAACTTGCCAAATCGAGGCTATTGGTCTGGTATAATACCATGAAACCAGTAGACCTTGTAGGATTGGATTCATGAGGAGTTTTGAATGGCTTGGCTCAGAGGAACCTTGGAACATATCTTTTTCTTTGCAGGTTGTTTAACCAAAACATGATCTGTTTACCTTTCCTTGCCTTAGGGAGTAACCTAAGTACAGGCTGGGTCAGTTTACCAGTGTACGTGGATGAACGTTGTTTTTAGTCTTCTGCTGCTTCTTGTGTGGTCACTAGGGCCAGAGGAATGCTCAGGTGCTGTGTTTGGAAGTTCAGGGGCTTTGGCAAAGACCAGCAAGTTCATCACTCACGGCCGTATTGTTTGCATTCAAGTGGTTCCCCTTGGTGCTCTTTACCCCTGCGCTTAGCCAGGGTCCCCTCTGTTCACCTTTAATCCCCGTGGCCCATTATGGGTTTTTAAGGACATGGTTTCCCAGGTGAGAAAGTACAGTGTAATCCTTTTGTTTTTACTATCCCTGATGGCTAGTGTCAAGTAAACCGTAATTTCTGATGATCCATAAATGGAAGACGATACCCATTTTTCCTTGTAGTTATTCTTGAAGCCTTAGTAACTGTGGAGAGGAACGGGAAGGTGCAGATCTCACCTTGCCTCCCCACCCTCATTCGCTTTTGGAGTAACCAAGCTGGCCTTGCTGATCTCCGGGCCCATCTTCCCAGACCGCATGTTATTTATGGCGGGGCCTGATGGCCTTGCCGTTCAGGTTATGCCTGCCCCTTGCTTCTATTTTTTTTTTTTTAAAGATTTTATTTATTTATTTGTCAGAGAGAGAAAGCACAAGCAGGGGGAGTGGCAGGCAGAGGGAGAAACAGGCTCCCCACTGAGCAGGGAGCCGCCCGATGCGGGACTCGATACCAGGACCCTGGGATCATGACCTGAGCTGAAGGCAGATGCTTAACCGACTGAGCCACCCAGGTGTCCCTGCCTCTTGCATCTTGATCTCTTCTTGTCCTTGGTCTTTGCAGCTGTGGAAGTCAGATGATTTTGGCCAGACCTGGATCCTGATTCAGGAACATGTGAAGTCCTTTTCTTGGTAAGTCCTCCACCTAAGAAGTTTGAATTACATAATCACCTTTCTTCAGTTCTAGCTCCTTCATGGAGGGCAGACCTGCCCTCACCTGAAATGTGGAGCATGTGGTTCGGGAAAGGCACATTCCAGACCTGGGAATTAGAACTGAGAGTACAACACACTCACTGTGTGGGGCGGTGGGGGATCAGAGAGGAAAGTTATGGGTGAGAGAAGTGACAGAGCTTTTGCATTTTTCAGTCCATCAGGGAACCCAGGGGACTCTTGAGCACTTGCATGATTAGAATTTCTAAAGACCTTCACTCTTCGAGCATGACAACAGAAGTGGGGATTTTTCTCTGTATCACTTTCATTCACTTGTTCATTCATAACGTACTTTTTTTGGATGTCTGCTGAATATGAAACATGTTCGATGCTTTAGGGTAGAAGAAGTTGAATAATTTATGGATATAGTTATTAAGGAGACTGCAGCTTAGGAGGCAAGAAAAGACATTTTGTGTACAGAACACACATCATGGAAGACACACAAAAGTCACAGACCTAGCAGGAGAAGCCAGAGGGGGGACTAGTCTTTCCAGATGGGGAGATCCCAGCCAGCTCCATGGAGGAGTTGCTTTTGAGCCAGGATGTGCGCAAGAGGCTGGAGGTAGCAGGAGGGGCCTGGAGGTGTGTGGGGCTGGGATTCCAGACAGAAACAGAATGGCCAAAGGCAGAGAGAGAGGACACTGTGGTACTTGGGTGGAGAACACGAAGTCTGACTTCTGGACAGTATGTTGGGTGAAGTTCGGGAAGGGACATTGGTATCTGAATATGCAGTGCTTGGTAAAGGAATCTGGACTGAATTCTGAAAGCAGCGAGGAGCCCCTATAGGGTTTTGAGAAGGAGAGAGAAATCAACAGGGCTGGACTTGCAGAAGTACAGCTGTTGCTAGTCGTACGTCCTTCTGATCTTTCACTGTTACAGGGTGCAGTATGTAATCTTGAATAGATGCACTTGTACACGTGTGGGCAAATGGGCAGAACAGATTCTCAGGAGCAGACATGCTGGGTCAGCAGGTCACTCAAACCCTTCACACTTAGCAAACTTGATTCCTCCTACATTGACCCTTGACCTCCACTGCCCCCAGTCAGCTGCCCCTGGAATCTTCCCCATTTCAGTTTCTAGTTGCTCAGGCCAAGAACTTGGGAGTCATCACTGATTTCATGTTTGTTTCATGCTTCACATTCCACCTATCAGGAAATCCTGTTGTCTCTACCTTTGGTTTATATCTAGGATCTACTGCTCAGCTATGACTTTACTCCAAGCCACCACTGTCACTCATTAGTTGTCCACCTGGTCTTTCCACTACTACTCCTGTCCTTCTGCAGTTAATTCTCAGTACATGGCTGGGTTGATCTTCGTAAAAACAGGTCAGATCATGTTGTTCCTCTCTCTACTTTGAACTCTTTATGCACCATCACTTCTCTCAGATTAATGCCAAGCATATTCCTACCACAGGGCCTTTGCACTTGCTTTTTTCCCTGCCTAGACTGCTCTTCTTCAAGATATACTTATTGCTTACTCCCTTATCTCATTCAAGTCTGCTCAAATAACACTTTCTAAATGAGGCCTATCCTAAGGATCCTATTAAAATTGCAACTACTCCCCTGTCATTTCCTGTGCCCTGATCTGTTATTTTTTTGCATAACACTTACCACTTTCTAATATGGGATTATTAGGCTTATTATTTATTTGTCTTTCTCTCTTTGATAGAATGAAAGCTCTACAAAGGCAGGGGCTTTGGTCAGTTTTGAGCACAGATATATCCCCAGTGAATAAAGCATTGAAATTGTAACTTTGGTAGAGATTGCCAAATCTATGGAGAGTGTTAAATTTTGCTCTCATCTCAGTAACATAGAACTGTGCTTCTCTCCACAGCCAATGTGTTAGGTAAGACAGGGTATCTCAGTATAGTCTTAGTTTGAATTTTTCTTACTATGAATGAGTTTGAGCATCTTTTAACAGCTTAAGCATCATTTTTATTTCCTTTTTTTTTTTCTTTCTTAAAGATTTTATTTATTTATTTGACAGAGAGAGACACAGAGAGAGAGGGAACACAAGCAGGGGGAGTGGGAGAGGGAGAAGCAGGCTTCCCGTGGAGCAGGGAGCCCGATGCGGGGCTCGATCCCAGGACCCTGGGATCATGACCTGAGCCGAAGGCAGATGCTTAATGACTGAGCCACCCAGGTGCCCCGTGTCTTTTTTATTTCTATTTTTATGACATGTCTTTTCATGCCCTTGGCCCTTTTTCTGTTGAATGGTTAGTCTTTTTATTGATTTCCAGGAGCTCTTTGTATATTTGAGGTTAGGCCTTTGTGACACTAGATACCACATGTGTGTGTTCATTTATAATTCTCAGTTTATCATTTGTGTTTTGAGGTTTCCATGTGGTTTTTAGTCCTCATTAAATGCAGTGGTACATACTGTCTGTGCTTCTTTTAGCTCTCTGTTTGCAGAGGAATGTCTTTGAGTTGGTATTGCTTCCTTGGTGAATGAGGACAGCGAAGATGGGAGGGAGCCCAGATGTAGAGGGGTCCTACAGCTGAGTATCTTCAGGCTCCATTGGACTTCCTTTTCAAAGAGACAGCTGTTTCTGATCCTTTTGTTTTTTTCCTTGGACCCAGGTTGTATTGTCTTAGTGAAATTATGACCACAGTCTTATCCAAGTATAACCTCTACCCAAGGAGTACCATTAGAACTTCCTTTTGCTTTATATGTGTCTTAAGGGGACAGATTGGGCTTTCATCTGCTTACATAACCATATATTAAGAGGGCACACTAGCAGGATGACTGAGTAAAGGAACATCACATTGGGGAATCTGTATGTTGTACTTTTGCCTCTGTGCACATATGCTGATATCTTAGGGGAAAGGCCTGGCCTGTCTTATTTTAGATAACTACGTGTCTGGTGTCAGGGCATTTCAGGCCATTTGGAGGATTTTCCCCTAGGATTTCCCATGATAAGTGAGAGTGTAATCTAACCTCTCTAAGAATAAGGGCATACATTTATTCAATAATGCGGGCAGCCTGGGAGCAGCAGGCGTTTGGAAAACCAGTGGTCTATGGAATCCAGAGCTGGAGATCGGCAAGGCGGGACAGTGGAAGGGCAGTTGGGGAGGGACTCAGGGGTGCCTGGCCGAGCACCATGGAAGGGTTGTAGGTGAGGCCCGGTGAGGACTGCTGACTGTGATCACAGATGGAGCAAGGCTTGGAATTTTCAAACGAGGGCCAAGAGACCAGACCGTAGTGGAAGCTAGCGATGGGCAAGTAGCCGAGCTTGGAGGCGGAGTGGCTCTCAGAAACGGGAGGTCCACAGCGGGATCACGGAAGAGAATTGGGAGGGAAGTCGCAGCTCTTTCTATCTCTTTCTATCTCTAGATACTGCTTTTGTTTAGGAAAAGAATAGCAGAGGTGAGCTCAGTCTCAAAATTCTCTGAGTGAAGGTCCCTTCTTCTCTGCCTTTTTAAAAATATCCAGCAGCTTTGTTTTAATTTGCATATCCTCTAGGGTAGAGGAAGTACTTTAATCAGTACTTCTAATTGTGGAAAAGAAGAGAACATGCCACCACCCCCACACATACGCACGCAGAGCGTCTGATGATGAGCAGTTGTCTCCTGCACTGGGGCCAAGCCTGCTGGCTTCTCCAGTGCTCTGCTTAGACTCCAGATTGTGGGGCCAAAGTCATGCCTTTTGGTTTCTATTTCTTCTCTCCCCCTTCCTTCCTTGTTTCCTTCCTTCCTCCCTCCTTCCCTCCTTCCCCCCTTTCCTCTTTTCCTCCCTCCCTCCCTCCCTCCCTCCTTCCCTCCCTCCCTCCCTCCCTTCCTTCCTGTGCTCTTTTTTAAAAATTTTTTTTAAAAGATTTTATTTATTTATTTGACAGAGAGACAGTGAGAGAGGGAACCCCACTGAGCAGGGACCCCCTGATGCGGGGCTCGATTGCAGGACCCTGGGATCATGACCCGAGCCGAAGGCAGATGCTTAACGAGGGAGCCACCCAGGCGCCCCCCTTCCCGTTCTCTTGACGATATATCTTTGAAGGAATTTTATATCTGAGCCTTCATTACGTTGAGAGCCATCATGCATATGTCGCTCTGCAAAGACAGGTCCAGAAGTGAGTCCTGCCTTTCCTTGGGTCATCCCTGCATCCTCCCTCTGAGGCTCTCCTCCTGATTTTTCCCATGCGCTGAATGGTCTGCCTGGCCTGGTGTCTTGTTGAGCATTAGGAAACCTGAGGCAGAGTAGTCCTCCTTGCAGCTATTGTTGGGGGCCTTATTTGGGGGAGACTCCTGTTCTGAGATTCTTCTTGAGGGAGTTTGATCAAGTCAACCTTAGAGTTTTCAGTTTGGAGTAGCCTTTGTACTGTGGTCCAAGGATTCAGTGCAGCAAGATTCAGTTCAGCTGGGAGCCCTGTAGGACAAAAAGAAATATAAGACATGGCCTTTAAAGGCATCTATACTCTCTCTAGGAAGCTCAGACACATTATGGTGAATAATAGAACACAGTGAATAAGAAGCACCACTGTGAATAAGAAGCACCATTGTACAAAGTCACGAGAGTGATTCCAAAATCCACCCACCCAAAACAGTTTTCTACCTTTGTTTGAAACTCACATAACATTAATACATAAGGCTTGAAATTGAACACTGCACAGGTACATCGTGGGTATTGGGAGGAGGGAGGAGAGCTTTGGGGGAGGGCTTCCTGGAAGAGGGGCCTTGAACTTGACCTCAGAAGAGTAGGATTTCAACATGCAGGTCAGAATGCACGCGGGGCGGGGCGGGGGCCTCCCTGCAGAGGGGTGCTCTGTTGACGGAGCGCAGGGAGTGGGGTGAGGGGAGAAATGAGCTCTGAATTTCTGAAGGACATCAGGGAGATCAGTCCATGTGAGAATGAGTTTGCAAAGGAGCCTCGCAGAACATGACTTTGCACTGGTAGGATGACTCCGGATTGCACGGATCAGCGACAGTGGCCCAGGACAGACAGACAGAAAGGGCAGGGCCTGCTAGCAAGATCAGGCTCACTGGTTCCTCGTGTGGTTTCTTCTAGAGCTGTTCTGAGAGCGTACGGGCCTGGGAAAACACACTCCTTCATTCTCTGAGGTTTACAACTTGAGGTCAGAAACTCACTGACAGCCTCAACCAGTCCCTTGCTTACTGATTCCAAAACACCCCACCTTTTACTTTTCCTTCTTCTTGCTCATCTCAGGCACGGCCAAGGCTTGCCTTGAGTGACACCCAGGGCACTTTGAAGAAAGCAGTAACAACATCAACACTTGACAAATGGCGATCACTTTCCCTCCCCACTGAACCGAGGAGCAACCAAAGGGCTCTGTTTGTGGCAGAGAGCGTGGGATTGTGTCCCTCAATTCCAGCAGGCTGGCTGCACGGCAGAACCTCGGTGTCTCCAGTTGCTTAAACAGAGTGATGATAGAAACTGCTCTCTTTCCTCTAGGGGTATCGATCCCTATGACAAGCCAAACACCATCTACGTGGAACGGCACGAACCCTCTGGCTACTCCACGGTTTTCCGAAGTACGGACTTCTTCCAGTCCCGGGAGAACCAGGAAATGATCCTGGAGGAAGTGAAAGACTTTCAGCTTCGGGACAAGTACATGTTTGCTACAAAGGTGGTGGTAAGTTGAAGGTGCTGAGGAACGTGGAAACTCCTTTTTGGGTTTCCTTTCAGAGGTTCGGCATTCCGTGATGGAGCCGGTGGGTTTGAATATGCAGGGAAGGGGTCAACGCACCCCGGGGAGCTTGACTGAGGGGCACTGGATATAGACGGGCATTCCCGTGGGGCTTGGATGGTCCCAGGAGGTCAGAGGAGTGGAGAAGCTCAGACAGCCACTCGGGATGTCTCTGGGCTCTTGGAATGTGGTTGTTTCCTGGTAGCCAAGCATCCTTGTCAAACACGTGTTTCTTTGACATCCCAATTAAAAGAACACAGAAAGGAGGGGTGGGGCTCTGTGGCAATTTGCTTTAATCTCGCCGCCTGATTTCCTTTTGGATTAGGCCAATGTCTTTGGGAATTTTGGACACATGTTAATTTCCATGGCTAATAGAATGTGTAGTCATTGGCTAGTGGGAGTTAATGCTCTAAGAAAAGCAGTGATTAAGCCTCCAGCTGTCAGTAAGTAGCTTAACTCTCAGCCTTTGGGAAAATCTTCCCCTTGATTTGATGTGTTGGATGGAGCCAGATGCTGGGGAGGTGGGGGGAGGCTTGCTCATTTAAAACCAGACTTGATTATTTAACAGGGCTTGCCTTGTGACTGTCTCAAGTTGCAAGCGGCGACTGCACTGCCCTGTGTAAAGGAACAAAACCGTCCTGAGGAGAGCAGGTTGGGCCGCTATCCTGGAGTGCCGTAGCTTATTTTCTTTTTCTTTTTTTTTTTTTTTTAAGATTTTATTTATTTATTTGACAGAGAGAGACACAGCGAGAGAGGGAACACAAGCAAGGGGAGTGGGAGAGGGAGAAGCAGGCTCCCTGCCGAGCAGGGAGCCCGATGTGGGGCTCGATCCCAGGACCCTGGGATCATGACCTGAGCTGAAGGCAGACACTTAACGACTGAGCCACCCAGGCGCCCCCGTAGCTTATTTTCTTGATGGGGGCCATTCCCTCCTTGACCTCAGGCTCTGCAGACGGCCGCTGGTAACTGGCAGGCGCTTTGCTTTCTGTCACAGTTAACCTTAGGGACTAAAATCAGGTGTAATGTTTTCCTCCAGATTCTCACTTAAAATATATGATGGGTAGCTGGCCCCTTTGGTAGGATTCCAGGGTAGAGAGAGGACCTCCCCAGCAAGGAAAGCAGAGAGTAAGGTTGAGATGAGAAGAGAAGATGTGGGTGGCTTAAAGGCAAGAGGGGTGCCCCATTACATACTTTGCAAAATGTTTTTTAAAGCCACTATAATTATGGCAGTTTTTCTTCTGTCAGGCTATTTGCATTGGGTCAGTTGCTGGATCATTCCTTTCCTGCCTTGCCTATCACTTTCTCTCTCTTTCTCTTACACACACACACAGCGACTCAGAAGGCAAGCATCCTTGGGTTGCCTTGGGCAGGGTTGTGGTGAGGAGGGAGCGCAGTGTGGGGAACCAGGCCTGAGGACTGTTACCTTGTGACATCCTCTTGGCAGTCCCAAGGTCCTGGTTTGCCTCTCATCTTTCAGTGTTCCTGGGTCTTTTCTGTTTTAGTTCCTTGGGCCTGAGTTTATTTATATGATTTTAATTTCTTGATTCTAAGACACAGTGACTGATTCTTAGATTTGCCTACTGACTGATTCGGGGCTGAGGTGGAGAGCCGTTGTGCATTCCTCTTATGCCTGTTTTTTCTGGATCTCACACCCAAGAGCTAAAGAAATATCCCAGTGGGAGCTTTCTAAGCCCTCCGTTCCACCCTAACGGCTATGTCTGTTCTCTCGCCATGGCTGATATGCAGGGCGCTGGGAACAAATTTATTGTTATTCCTGGTCAGTGGTGAGATCAGGGGCTGTGTCTGCCTTGTTCATCACTGATGTGGTACCCAGTATCTTGCACAATGCTTGATACATAGCAGATGCACAGTAGTTGAATGAATGCCATCTCTGCCCACCTGATTTAGAAAGCATAGGCCAGTAGATTTTTTAGGGGAGTGGTAGGAGGCCTTAAATGATTGTTACTTTCTTGGTCAATTCTCACCTCTCTGTATGGTTTATTTATTTATAGGATATTGGTGACAAACCTGTAGTTATGTGTTGGCTTCATCTTTCAGCACATGGATGGGCCACCGGATTCCAGGGTCAGTGGTGTTAGCTAGAGGCTCTAGGCCAGATGAGGTAGGCCACCACATGGAAGTGTTTCTCAAATTGTGGTCTTAGGAGCAATCTCAGCACCATCACTCAAGAGCACTTGTTCCAAAAGCGGATTTCAGGGCCCAAATGCATTTTTTTTCTCAGCATCCTTAGGCTGCCTAAGAATCTCCAAAATTTGAGAAGCTCTTCCCTGAGGTCTTCTGTATGCAGAATAGTCAGTTCTATCATCAAAGGATCATTGTAGATTGGATGGGTTGATGAGGGAAGAGACCCAACCGGCTGTGGGTGATAAAATGAGTGTTTTCCCTCTTTTAATTTCTTCCTCTTTATTACATTAGACTGCTGAGCCATAAGGATAAACAACATTGGCCTTGGTTGGATAACTGTATCAGTAGGAGTATTGTGAGGTCTGCAAGTGTAACTTCTTATCTGGGGTGTGCTTAGCACTCAGACTGCCTGGGTTTGGGGAATTCTGAGGGACCTTAATATTAAATGGATTCAAATCAAATTAGGAAAGTCAAGGAGCTAATTGCAAAACCACAGAAAATTGGTTTTGGGTGATTAACTCTTTTGCTTTTTTCCAGTACCATGAACGATTATAATTCTTTGCAAGTTAGCTCTTTAGAACATGTGGGGACAGCCATCTGGATTCTGGACTGGAGCTGGTGTCTGAATCTTCCGAATACCCCTGTGCCCTGTTAGTCTGGCTCTTATTTCATATGTGCTTTGTTTCTGATGCCCTTTGATTTTTTTTTTTTAAAGATTTTATTTAATTATTTGAGGGGGTGGGGGAGGGGCAGTAGGAGAGGGAGAGAGAATCTCAAGCCTAATCCATGCGGATCAGAGTGCCCGATGTGGGGCTCGACCCAACGACCCTGAGATCATGACCTGAGCTGAAATCAGGAGTCAGTTGTTCAACTGACTGAACCACTCTGGGGCCCCCCTTTGATATTTTTTTTAACCCAAGTTTAATTTTTATTCCATGTTTTTTGACATGACATTCACTTACTTGTCTTAATAGTCTACATCAAAATGATAGGCCATTGAGGCAGCAAAGAGGCACTTCTGCAAACTGGACCAACATTGATTCGTTAACTTGGCAATAGCCAGCTGTTAGGTTCTTTCTGGTAGATATCAATAGTTGCCAGAATGTTGGAGGTAAGTGAGGGCCAGCTGCTCTTCTGTAGCTTCACCACCAGCTTATCATGAAAGCCAGGTCCACACCTTTCTTGCACAAATGTATGTCAGTAAGCAAAGACCTAATGTATGGGCTTGATGGCATCTCCTCTCTTCTTCTAGGTGATGCAGACACAATGTTCTAGAACAGGGATTGGCAAACTATGGCCCTTCACTTATTTTTGTCAATAAAGTTTTATTGAAACAGCTATGCTCATTTGCTTACATGTTGTCTATCACTGCTTTCATGTCACAGTGGCAGAATTGAATAGTTGCATGGAGGCGGGATGGCTCATAAACTTTAAAATACTTCTATATGGATCTTTACAGAAAACCAACCCTGTTGTAGAGGCAAGATTCTGTTACCCTTTGAGTTGGCATCAGGCAACCAGAATCCTCTTGTGTAAAAGCTTGATAAGTCGTGGACATTACCCCTAAAAGTTCAGGTTACAGGCCTCCTTAAATTGTTATGCCCTATTCATGCCAGAGTGTTATCTTCAGGATATTATGGCCAATTCAGATATCTTGCATGCCACTGATCTCCCAAAAGAGCTCATTTGTACTTTCGCTATTCTGACCAACCAACCACTATTGAAAACCAATTTCTAATCTTCATTATGCTAATTTAAAGTCTCTAATGTTGGTAGAGATAACAAGAAAACTTAGTAATCATCTCAAGATTGTGGGCTTCTCTATGAAAAGTTAGCTGATCACAATTGGAGTGTGATTTTTTTTTAGGATAACTGACCAAAACCAAGTTATTGACAAATTAATTATAACGTTACTTAAATGTATGTAAACATAAAGCTAGGTATAAACACTTAATGCATATAATTTATAGGCAACAATAAAACCTGAACACATTATGAATAACAATAAAACCCAAACATTATAAATAAAGCTATAATACCAATAAATTTAATATCAATTTTTATAACACCTATATTGAGATATAATTTCTATGCCATAAAATTCACCCTTTTGAGGTATACAGCTCAGTGGTTTTTAGCTTATTCACAAAGTTGTGTAATGCTTACCACTATCTAATTCCAGCCCCTGCACCCCCATTCCATTCCCCTCCCCTCCCTGGCAACCAGGAATCTATTTTCTGCCTCATAGAATTGCCTGTTCTGGACACTTTATGTAAAGAGTATCTTATGCCATGGGACTTTTTGTACCTGTTTTCTTTCCTAGTATAATGTTTCCAGATTTCATCTGTGTTTATTACGGATCATCAGAATTAATGGGTCTTTAGGTCCACTGCCTCTCTCTTCTGCCGGTTCAGATCTCTTGTTGAACCCCTCTGGTAATTTTTTTCTTGTGAGTTACTGTCCTTTCCCACTCAAGAATTTGTATCTCTATAATTTCTGTTTCTTTAGTGATACTCTCATTTAGTGAGACTGTGTTCTCATACTTTCCTTTAATTCTTGTGACATGGTTTCTTTTAATTTTTTGAACATATTTATGATAGGGGATTTAAATGTTTTGTTTGTGAGTCCAATATCGGGCCTTCCTCAGGAACAGTTTCTATTGACTCTGTGTGTGTGTGTGTGTGTGTGTGTGTGTGTGGTGTTTATGTAGGGGCCATACTTTGCTGTTTGCTTGTCTTATCCTTTTATTGAAAATCAGACATTTTCGATGGTATAAGGTGGCAACTGCTTATATCAGAGTAGCCCCTTCCCAAAATGGTTTTTGTTACCTTTTCCTACTGTTGCCTGTATTTGTTTTGTTTGTGACTTTCCTTCATTAATTTTGTAGAGTTTGCATTCTTCATTGTGTGTGGTGGCTATGAAATGTTTGATAATTAGGCTTCGTGGTTAGCTAATGATTGAACAGAGATTTTTCTTAAATGCTTTGAATCAGTACATCTGGTAGCCTTTGCTGAGGGCCTTTGAGCATGGGTGGGGGGCCTGCCTTTAGTGCAATCTACAACTCTGCCTTAGCCTTCAGTTCCTGCTTCCGTAGACCCAGCCATGAGTGATTAGGCCCTTTTCGCTTCTCTTCTGAGCATACTCACAGCTCTTGCGTGTGTGACCTTGTAGAGTCCCCGGAATATTTCAGAGCTTATCAAAGCCTCTTAGGGGCATCTACTTCCCCAGCTTTTCCGTAAGCCTTTTGTGAGTTCCAGGTGCCATGTCACTCTAGCAGCTGCGATGTGAAACACTTGTCTCTGTTTCCATAGGTCGGTCTGTACAGCGAGCTGAGGCAGGTTATATGTAGAGAAGACCTGAGAATGCAGTTTCAAGCTGGCCGTGGCAACAGTCTGTCCCCTCCATTGACCGCGCGGCTGCTGGTTTTCACAGTTCCCGGAGCTGCGAGGCTGTGGGTTTCCGAGGCTACCGCAGAGCTAGAGCAAAGGGGATGGGACTGAGGCCACAAAGTCGGCTCTTCTTGCTGAGCTTTGACACTGTTCTCCAATAAGTGCTCTTTGGGTTTTGGCAAGCCTTTATTTAATTTTTTGAATTCTAAAAAAGTTGACTTTGAGAATTTTTGTCAGTGTTCTTGTTGCTTTTTGGATGAGTGGATTTTCAGAGTTCCTTCCTCAGCCATTCTTGACGTGCTTGCAGTGAATACTAACTTTGTGAAACTGTTCATTATGGACGTTTTCAAATCTACATAAAAGCACAGTTTATACTGATAGGACTGCCACAGGTGCCCTCATTCAGCCTCAATATTATTTACATTTGCTAATCTCTTTTTGGCTGTGTACCCACTGGTTATTTTTTTCTTGGAATATTTTATTTTTATTATTATTATTTTTGAAGTAGGCTCCACGCCCAACATGGACCCCAACATGGGGCTCAATCTCACGACCCTGAGATCACAACCTGAGCTGAGATCAGGAATCGGACGTTTAACTGACTGAGCCACCCAGGTGCCCCTTTCTTGGACTATTTTTAAAGCATAAACATGTATAAATAAAATATATATAAAATGTTATCTATAAATATTTTAGTATAAACAACACTAATGTGGATGATGATGTTTTGCTGATCCCTTGTCACTGTCTCAGAGGAGAAGGTGGGCGTGAATGCTAGAGCCTGTTCTGGACTGTGTCCTTGTCTGCCACGTGCCGCAGGGTCCCTCATTCTCTGGCCACTGTTCTCCGTGAAACATCCGATTGAAGAGCTCACTGTGACATCCTGTGGCCTTCACTTGGCAAGAATGTGTCATTTATTTAGTTCTCTCTGCTCTTTCCTCCTTGACCTCTCGTTTCCTTTGGTATAATCTCAAACATAAATATAAGTGCACTTTTTGAAATCCAGATTATTCAGCTACTTACATCAATTTATTTTTCCTTATCGGAATGAAAGCACCAAATGAAACAAAGATCTTATCTTCCATTTTCAGACCCTAGAATACCGGCATAACTTGAAGCATTGAAATACCTCCTGGACGCTGGTGAAAATATTTGTGCTGGGAGCTATATTAACTGGGATAGCCTTTAAGGAAGGCTATTTTTTCTGTCAAAAATGAAAACTTTGACCTAGGGGTTTTAAGAATGGCATCCTACAGATATTCTTGTGTAGTTCTGGGAAAGGTAATATATACAGGTATATTCACTGAAGAGTGCTTCTGGAAATCATGTCAGAGCCCATGAGCTGTTAAATGAAAGATGCCTAAGAGACTCTGTTAATGAAGAAAGTTGAATTGCACAAGGATATTTTTATGTGGAAAATAAAATTACATGTAGCAAATTGACATTGTGTTCAATTACTGGTAACAGAGTAGAAGTAAAAAGTGGCTTAATGAATACAGAAACTTATTTTCCTCTCCTCCATGCTGCCTGGAGGTAGGCAGTGTAGGGCTGGTATGTTGGTACCTGGTACCCTGGGGGCCCAGGCCTCTCTCTGTTCCACCAACCTGACTAATGATTTCGATCCTCACCGTTCCCTCTTGGTCTAGGACATCTATACTAGCCTTTGAGTCTTTACAGGAGTCAGAAAGAGTAAGGACAGATAGGCCAAAATAGGACCCCTTCCCACTGATTAAGTCCCTTCCAGCAGCCTTCCTAGAAACCCAACACACCACTTAGGTTTACGGGTATTGACTGGTACTCAGTCACATGGCCACATGCAGTTATGCAAAAGGTAGAGAACCCCAGTGGTTTATTTAGGGTGGCAGTCAAGATCCTGTTGCTAAGGAGGAAGGAATAATGGATGTTGGGTAAGTGTAGCATCCTTTGTCACTATATAAATATGCTCAGGGGTGATGGTACAGAACACTCCTTAAAGACCCCATGGGAGCCTGTTCCCTTTTACTCCCTGGGGAGTAGGGTAGGAGGAGTGAGTAGAGGGTAGGGAGCAGAGTGTCTGCATTTTACTTTACATCTGTCTGTACTGTTGGATGTTTCTTTCTCATGAGCACGTTTTACTTTTGTCCTTGTGGTAAAAAACTCAACCACCACAACAACCCATGGCTCATTAAGGAAAGTAGTAGGAGCTTTTGATACATCTATCTGACAATCCACAGTGTACTACAAAATTGTTAGTATGTTTCTTGGTGGCAAGAAAGTGTGACAGTGACTCCTTAGGGGTGAACCTGAATTGTCCAGGCTTAGGAATTATTGTCCCAGAAGGAAGTGGGACGCATGTTTTTTGAGGTTTCTTTTTTTGTTGTTTTTTTGGTTTGTTTTGAGGTTTCTTACGACCGTTGTACTCTGACTTTTGCATCCATGGAGGAAGACTGGCCTTGGTATGAATTCTCAATTCTCGTGCCAACCAACAGCACTCGTTAAGAATGCTTAACTAATGATGGCCCCCCCAGTGTCACTGAGAAAAGTGGCTCCTTTCTAAGGTTTAACCACAGTGGGAAGAAGTGAAAAAGTATAAAGCATTGAAGTATGTTTTTCACGGACATCTGTGTATTCATATATATTTATAGGGATTTATATAGGGTAACTTACATGGATCCTCTGACCTTTATAAATAGCTATAAAATTTTATTGACTTAAAGAGGGCTTTTGGGATCTATGCCTAACAGTTTTGCTGGGTACTGTTTTCTCATTCAGGTGTAATAAGTTTTACATTTTTATTAGATCCATTGTTTCCTGCGGCCCCATACTGAGTACAAGCTATTACCATGGTTTTCCATGTGCCATTTTGGAAAGGCCGTCTTTTGTACCTCCCTACCTGGCTTCTTTGAAACAGACTACTTTTAGCCATTTGTTTGAATATATGTGTGTATATAAATATATATATATACATATATATATATATATGTATATATATATATATACTGCTCAGATAAATCAAGAATAACTTCAGGTTCATTCAGCAGCTTGCTCTTCACATAGTGTTTATTGGGCATATATTAGCACAGGGGATTCGGTTCTATTATAGTTAAGAGAAATTGGTACGTTTCTTACTTTACAGGAATTTAAAATCTGTGGTAAACAGTAGCAACACGGTCAAGGATAAATGAAGCCAAATGAACCCCTTCTGGCTGGCAATCCCAATATTCTGATCAGCTTAATAGTCATGTGTGTGATTATGTCCACATGATGGTGTGTGTCCCTTTCTGTCTGGATAGATGTGCAACATTTTGCCTCAGTTCCCAGCCCCATACTTTCAGAGCTGGAAGAACCCACACTGAGCCTTTACGGTGCTGCTTATCTTTTTTTGAATCATCGCCCCTTTTGAGGATCTGGTAAAGATTGTGTACCCTCCCCGGCGGGATGAATGGGTACATCTATACACACTGTTTGCCTTTGTATTTATAGGATTCCTGGGCCATTGACAGCCATCGACAGAGAAGTCCCGAGCCTAATCAGCTTCTCAGTTTTATAGATGAATAAATTGAGACTGAGAGAGGCTTAGTGACTTCCTGAGGTGTACAGCCAGCTCTTAATCTAGTGCTTTTGTACACATTTTCGAGATTCCAGCAGTGCTCTAGTATGTCTAAAACACAATGTGACAGGGCCGACATCATGCCCTACCAAAGAAAACATAACGCCAGCAAAAACGTTCATCAATGAGAAGTATTAAAAGGTCGCAAAAGAGAATCAGCGAAAATTCCTCAGCTCTTTGTGCAAGTTAAAGCCCTTGAATTTGAGTATCCTTGTAACCTGAAAATAGGAGAGAAAGAACAAGGGGAATGGGTTTTATATGCGCTGCGTGTGGCTGACCTCACCCTGGGCAGGTCTGGGGGCTGCCTGGCTAAATCTCCACCCCCCTCCCACACCCAGCTTCAGCCACAGTACTGTTTGTCCTTCGTCCTCATCTGGTGTTAGGGAGTATCTGGTACCTGTTGCAGACCAAGTGTCCTGGATCAAGCGAGTACAGCCCGAGCTGCGGAGTGAACACGGATGTTGCAAAAACGTGCATTTGCAGTCACCCTGTGTTTCGTGTTTTTGGTAGAATTGGAGGGGTCTGACACTTCTGTTTCCTTCTTCACTTATTTGGAATGGCTGTAATGTGGCACCATTAACTTTTTTTTTTTCTCCTCTTCCTGGGCAGCATCTTTGGGGCAGTCTGCAGCCATCTTCTGTCCAGCTCTGGGTCTCCTTTGGCAGGAAGCCCATGCGAGCAGCCCAGTTTGTCACGAGACATCCTATTAATGTGAGTGGGGTCTGCTTGGGGGTGGAAAGAAGTGTTAATGTCTGCATGCAGGGGTCAGGGGAAGGGTGTTGCAGGGACGTCCTTCTGGGTAGATAGATCTTTGATGGAGGCTCCCTGAAGTCCCTTTCTAGATAGGTCCCTAGAGAGAACCATTATGCTTTGGGCATCTTGGTCTGTTTTTTTTTTTCCCTCTTCACTGTTCAGAGTGCAGCCGGATGGGAGCCTTAATTTGCTTTACGTGGAAACGGATGGGCAGAGAAGTTTGAGACTAGAGTCAGTGGGCTCAGGGTGCCAGTACTGAAGGAATGGGGAGCTGGTGACCCTGAGTTATTTGTTTGGGACCTGCTCTGTTGCTTACAGTAGGCGGCTGGATTACGAAAGGGGATAAGAGCTGGGTCCCACCCTTTTAGAAACACAGGTTGGAGACGCAGAGAACCAAGCAGAGGAAGAAACCATATATAGTCCAATGCTTGGTCCAAACCATATATAGTCTGTGTGTATGATGACGTAGATCATAGGAAGGATCCTGGTGGGCGGGGGTCATCAGAGAAGTGCCCACAGGTAGGACGTGGCATTTGAAGGCCTTGCCACCAGCAGTTGGTGTGGTGGAAGGTTGGGAGCTCAGGTGGAGAAGATTCTTGTCCATTCTTTGCTTTTTACAGCTTCCATCTTCCTTTAGTACCTTAGAGGAAAGGGAATGCACATTAATGTATATCGTACTTGGTACTAACAATAGACCTCATGGGAAAAAGAGGGAGACGTTATGAACGAACCTGAAGTGTTTAGGTCATTTATGGAGTTCGGTGGCCCCCTCTTTTGGGCCCCATTTGCCAGGAAGCAGCTTGCTTCAGCTACATGGCGGCCTCAGCTCCTCCAAAAAGAAAGTTGGCCGAGCTTTACAGGGATTTGGGAAGCTGTCTGTGGGCTCTGGGCCCATACCTCTCACTGGGACATTTGGAAATCATTACTTTAGTGTGCATAGGGAAAGCCCACTGCGCATGTGGGTCTTTTGACTTGTGTATTTTTCGACTTTTGATTCCAAAGGAATATTACATCGCAGATGCCTCCGAGGACCAGGTGTTTGTATGCGTCAGTCACAGTAACAACCGCACCAACTTATACATCTCGGAGGCAGAGGGGCTGAAGTTCTCCCTGTCCTTGGAGAATGTGCTCTACTACAGCCCAGGAGGGGCGGGCGGCGACACGCTGGTGAGGTAAGGAAACCATGGGTCCGTGGCCCACAGTCTCACGTCAGTACCACCTGCACCCTCCAGGTGGGTGTTTTTCAGCATCAGCTGCACATTTGGGTTCCACTGGCGAGTTGCCAGAAGCCCTGATGCCTGGTGTGTGGTTTAACCAGTTTGGGGTGTGGCTGGGCTCTGAAGGTTTTACAGAGCCCTCCAGGTGACTTGGATGTGAGGCCAAGGCTGAGCACTGCCGCTCTGGGTGACTTTTAGAGTCACAGCCCATGTCAGCCAGTCCCCGTCTGGCTCTGGGGTCTCTGAGCCAGTGGGAAAAGGCACTTGGAAAATGTCCGCTCAGGGCAAGCTGACGTGGGGAGCCCTGGGGGCCTTGCCTCCAAGTGACTCGGGTTCATTGACATTTTTTTTTTCTTATTGCAATTGCAAATATTGCTTTGTGGGTGTCTGTGGAAGGACCCCAGTGGTACCCATCCTTTATCAGGACATCCTATGCTTGGAGTTGTTTTGTTGTACTGGACGTTCCGTGGGCTGTGGAGGAGTCCGGGGTTCGGGAGGGATGAATGACCCGTGACCCTCGAGGGACAGGAGGGCATTTATTCTCACTTGTCTTGTGTGAGGCGTCTGACTGTGATGAGGATCGCTCTCCGCTCTGGGAAGGAGCCGTCTGCTGGAGCTGGTTGGTGGGCTCTGGGGTCGGGCTCTGAGGCCATGACCTCCAGGGCACAGGCCGTGGCATTGCCGTCCACGGTCTCTCGTCATGCTGGTGATTTATGCAGTCACCAGCTCTTTCAACAAGAATGCTGTTGCTCTGGGCCAGCACTGAGATCATGTGTCCAGCCACGAAAAGTCAAAACAGGGTCCCTGTTCTGTGGAGCTTTTGTTCTCCTTGGGGGAAGACAGAACATAGACAGACGTGTAACATGCCTGGTGGTGGTGAGTGCTGGGAGGCAAAGTGAACCAAGTTCAGAGGTCAGGGCAGTAGGAGCCTGTTACTTCATTCAGGCTGGTCATGGGAAGCTGTTCGAGGATGGCGACATTTCAGCAGGTGCCTGGGAAAGGGCACTGCAGGCAGAGGGAACAGCATGCTCAGAGGCTCTCAGGTTGGACTCTGTTGGTTTATTTTAGGAGCAGTGAGGAGGCCAGGGTGGATCCAGCAGCTGGAGGAGGAGGGAGAGAACCCAAGGGACAGCATCTAAGAGAGCAGAGCTCAGATTGTATAGGGCCTTCGAAGGCATGGAAGGAACTTACTTTTTTCCTAAGTGGGATATAGAGGGTTTTGACCAGAAGATGGACATCATCTGATTTAACCTGTTATATTTTTTTAACCATTGAAAAAGTTGTGAACTGCATGATATAAAGGAAAGCACATGAAACATAAATGGACTTCGTTATCGGAAACTTCAGACGAACACTCAGGTGACCTGTGTTTTAAGAAGCCATCCTCAATGCTGTGTGCAAAGTAGACTCTTGGACAGGAGCAAGAGTGGGAGCAGGAAGCCTGGCTGGGGGAGTGTGATGGAAATCCAGCCGGCGGGGATTGCTGTTGGCTGGACCCAGGGCGGTAGTGGGAGAGATGACGGAAATGGGCCAATTCTGATGGTTTGTTGGTAGATTTGCTGCTTCACTGTGGAGAGTCAAGGGCCCGCAGCTGCTTGGGCTCAGCAGTGGGCAGAATGATGGCCAATGCCAGGAGCACCCCCGTGGGCTGAGTCAGGGAGTCGGGGAGGGCTGGATGAGGAGCAGGTGTCAAGGGAAAGAGCGGGACCTTGGGTTTGGACTCAACAGGACCCGAGGGGAGAACTTTCTACCCGGTCTCTCTCTGATAGTGCTTTTCCACGCCCTGTTTTGGCTCTTTCGGAGGTATGTCCTATTTTGTGCCTTACTTTTTTTTCCCCCTCCCAGTATAGACTCACGAGTTATTTATTATTCAGTGCATGTTAATGTGTTGTAAACCATCCCTACCGTAATTCAGCCTCAGGTTTTTCTGGTTTGGTCAGTGGCAGCCTCTTTGGACTGGCTCCTGTGTCCTTTTTTGTTTTTTATTTGTTTTTAAAGTAATTTATTGAGGGGAAATTCACAGAACATTAGCTTAACCATTTTAAAATGAACAACTCGGTGGCATTTAGGGCATTCACAGTGTTGTGCAACCACCAGCTTTAATCTAATTCAAAAACATTTTCACTCCCCAAAAGAAAACCCCTTACCACTAGGCAGTTTCTGGCCCTTGTCTCCCCTCTCCCCGCACCCCCTCTCGGGATATTCTGTGTAAACAGAATCACAGCATAATATATGACCTTTGGGTTTGGCCTCTTGCACCTTTCATAATATGTTCAGGGTTGGTCCACATGGAGCGTGTGTTGGTGCTTCATTCCCTTTTATGGGTGAATATTATTCTCCTTACTTTTTAAATCAAAATTATGAGCCATTATTCCTCAAGCCCTTTCACAGACTCTGATTTTTTTTTTTTTTTCATGTCTGAGAGCCTCTGGCTATATGGAGTGGATAAATCAGAGGTTTCCAGATCCTCCATACCCGTTTGTCGGGTATTCGGGATGGGTATCTCGTGACTGGGCAGAGCTCAAGCCAGAAGCTCCCCAGGAAGCAGTAAACTCAGTTAGGTGACCATGTGGCCCTCTCATAGATGCCCACGGCCCTTTCTGTGGTCACAGAGGACGCCCCCGCCCTGCCTGGGCGTAGAGTCCAGTCAGGAAACTGGAGAGAGGTTTATGTCTACGTTCACAGACCCGCGTAGGCTCAACCTTCTTGCTCTTTTCTTCAGGCTTTATCTCAGGGACTGAAGATCTTCACAGGGGCTCGTTTGCATGAACTTTTGTCACCTGCTTCTGCATCTCAGCGAGATGAAACGGGTTAAGGGTGAATTAGCAGATTACGTGGGCAGGCTGATTTGAAAAAACAAAACAAAACACAGCCCTTCTGTGGTATTTGAAATGAGTTGTTCTTTGCACTCAATAGGCAGGTGTGGTGCCAAGGAGCCCGTCCTAATTTGCTTAGAGGACCAGAGAAGGAATTCTTAACGGGGGCGCTCCTGGCATTGGTGAGATGTGCCGAACAGAAATCTCATGGAAAGCGGTGTCTGGATGGAGGACCAGGTGTGGAGAGGAAATGTCAGGCCCGGTGGCGGCGCATCTGAGGAAGACCTGCTGCTGGGTTGTGCGGGGCAAGGCGGGCTTGGGTTCTGCAGGAGGGGGGCCCAGGGGCCCTGGGGCGCTGGCTGGGGAGCAGCGGACAAGTGCTTGTCGTGAGGGCCGGTGAGAGGAAATGTAAGAAAAATGGATGAAGAGAGGGCACTTAGGGTGAGGTGGATTGTCGCAGGACCACAGAGGAGCTGGCAGGACCGTCTGGGGAGCGTGTGAGGCACAGAGGACAGGTTTGTGCTTGGAACCGAAAGGCAAAAATCCAGGAGAGTGACTGGAGGGAAGAAGCAGAGTTCATCTAGCTGAGAGAAGGCCAGACCTCCCGCGTGTTTGAAGGAAGCCAGCAAACCTGACGGTGGCGGCTTCGTGATGATAGAATCCAACGTAGGATTGCTCAGATGAACAGAGAGCAGGTGGATGATAGACCTTCACCGGATTTCTAAGGAAGCAACTGAAAAATAACTCCGGTAGACCTAAGGAAAGCACACGTCAGAATATGTGGTCTCAACACCAGTATCTTATTTAGGGTTTTGCTCAGTCTCTCAGTCTGAAGTAGCTTTGTCAGTGCTTTTAAAAAATTGTTCTGGGGCGCCTGGGTGGCTCAGATGGTTAAGCGTCTGCCTTCGGCTCAGGTCATGATCCCGGGATCCTGGGATCGAGCCCCACATCGGGCTCCTGGCTCAGCGGGGAGCCTGCTTCTCCCTCTGCCTCTCTCCCTGCTCGTGCTCTCTCTCTCTATCTCTGAAAAAAAAAAAAAATTTTCCTTTTCTGCCTCAGAGCTTATAGTGTGCTTCTTTCTGTCTGAGAGGCAGAGCACGCTTCCAGGTCAAGATTTGTACAGTGGATAATGGAAAAAAGCAGTTCTATGATTTTTTTTTAAATTAAAAAAAATTTTTTTTTTTTTTTACAAAGGCCAGTGGCTCAGAACCCTTCTAAATAAAGGACTTACATCCAGTTTTAAAAGCCACGTGTGAACTCCAGTTAGCACTTCTCAGAGATCTGTTCCATTTGTAATGCGTGGATCATTTCAGGGCAAAACTGCTTCCCAGTGAAATCAGTATCCCAGCAAAGTAGTTAGAGGCCCTGGGAGGGGCTTAATCTCTGTTTCACTGTTAACAAGTATAACCTCAAGCTTCTAGAACCACCCTCGCTCTCTATCCTGCTCCCTTGGGTGGGGATTCTGCTCTGCTTTCTGAGAGGAACCCTACGGGCTTCGGTCTGATCCGGGCATTGGATAATGAGTCGTAAGCGTGTGGACAGTGGCTGGGGAACCCTTCACGCTGTATTCCTGCGGCTGGTAAGCCCCAGCGCTTTGACTGGTGTCTGGCAAGTCTGGCTTACTGTTTCCTGTTTGTCGAGGCTCACTGGAGGATTTGGGGTGGATTCATCAGGGAAGAGATAGATGTGACTCTCTCATCAGCTCTGTGTGTTGTAGTCAGCATTCTGAACTCCCTGCGTGGAGTTATTGATCCGATAAGCATCTTGGCCTTCAAAGTTAAAACACAATCACGTTTAAAAAAAAAAAAAGAAAAGGAAGGAGAGGAGGCTATTCATCTATAAGAAGGAAAGGAGTACTGATTTGCGTTACAATATGGGTAAACCTTGAAAATATTATGCTGTGGGAAAGGAACTGTAAAAAAAAGGCATGTTTCTGTGTATGTGAAATGCCCAGAATAGGCAAATCCGTAGTGACAAAAACTCAGTGGTGGTTGCCAGGGCCTGGGGTGGGCAGACGAAAGGGTGAATGACTGCCGGTGGGTACAGGGTTTCTTTTTGAGATGAGGAAAACATTCTGGAATGAGATAGTAATGCGGGTACAACACAACATTGAGAATGTGCTTAACGCCACTGAATTCTGTACTTTCCAACAGTTAAGTTTTATGTTATTTACCATAAAAACATACCAAGGGTATATCACCTCAGGTTCACAGCTGTTTATTTTCTCTTACTGTAGGTATTTTGCAAATGAGCCATTCGCTGACTTCCACCGTGTGGAAGGGTTGCAAGGAGTCTACATCGCTACTCTGATTAATGGTTCTATGAATGAGGAGAACATGAGATCAGTCATCACCTTTGACAAAGGGGGTACCTGGGAGTTCCTTCAGGCTCCAGCCTTCACAGGATATGGAGAAAAAATCAACTGTGAGGTAGAGATGCTTTCATCTTGTTTGCGTTTTTCATACAAATCTTTACCTCTTGTGCTACCCTTACGGTTCCCCAACTCAACACCAGGGCACCTAGGGTCCCATAGTGAACTCCCAAGGGCACTCTGGAATGCTTTAAATTTTTGAGGGAAACACGAGATACTTGGTATTTGTTGGTCATCATGGGAAGTACCATCTTGAGTTTAGTTCCGAGTTTCAATACAAGTTCATGCTGAATTTCTTTGGAAGACGTCCTGTCTTTGTAAAGCTGAATTTCCTCGCAGTTGATGTGATAAAAAGCAAGTGAGAAAATCAGGGTGGAACGGGAGATGACAGTGGTGGGATCGAATATGATTCTAAACTTAGAGAAGGTGCGTAGTACTCAATAGGTGCACACATCCCGTATTAAGTAACTGTGGTAATATTTAAGGGTGAAATAAAGATTTTGTTTTCTCTCCTTCTCTTTCTCCGTGAGTATGTGTGTATATCCACGTATGCACGCATACTATTATTTTGAACTGCCGCTAAGTTATTAGGACATGTCTACTTATTAAGTTGTGTGGTCTCAACTATGTAAAGCAATAAATGTTGGTATTCTGGCGTGAAGCTGCTATAAAAAATTTACGGGGACACAATTGTGCTGCAAGGAAGTTTGGGAAACTCTGATGTAAGCTTTTTAGTTCTGTGGAACCTTTTTTAAAAAAATGCCTTCCTGAATATAATTCAGGATTCCACAATTTTCCCAATCTGTGGCTCCATCTGAAAAGCTGAGAATACTAAAATGTATTATTTGGCCTCAGGAAGTGTTCCCACTCGCCTCAGCAGCTCTGTTCTTATCCCTCGGATGAACATTCTTTGGACTGAGTTCCTTCCTTTTTGCCTCACCTAAGGGATCTGGGGTATGTAAGGTAGGTAGGCAGAAGGAACTCAGAAAAAAAGTCAAGTGGTAGTAATTTTGGGGAGAACTGTAACATTTAGTTAGACAATTACCTGATCTTTTGGAATTTTAAATTTTGTTTGTCCATGATTAAGTATGTTGACTCTCCTGTAGCTGTGACCCCTGGGAAAATTTTTTTTGGAGACTCTTGCTCTCCACGGACTTCTTGATTACTCTTCCCTATTTGGCAACAGGTGTGGACTTAGTACATCAAGTCTAACTTTGGAAAGAGGCAAGATATAAGTAGACAGAGACAGATACATAGGTGCTTCTTTATTCCGGAGTGGCTTCTAGATTTTGGGAGCTCTGCACGAGCCTGTGTGGATGGGGGTGGCCTGCTTTTGAGCATGCTGTTGGGGTTCTGAGCCCTAGTTAAATAGAATTAATGCTATTGTTAAAACTCTGCTTATTCTCCTGACTGACCTGTTTATTTATGAACTGTGCAACCGTTGGTAAGCTTTTAGTTTTTACCTGTGATTTTAGGTGGTGAAAGAACAGGTCAGTTGGCACATATTTCTTTGAGACCCAACCTAATTTGCTCCAGTTTTCGTTTGCTAAACTGTGATGCTAGCAAAATGGACATTTGCTAGAGAGATCCTTTTGTTATAAAAGTAAGTGTATGTAGCAAAACCATGTCTGTTTTTACGTGTTCCCATAAGCACACAGAGTTACCCTGTCTAGAACACCAGATGAGACTGAATAACATTTGACAATCACATTCTGACCAAGATAATCTGGCATGACCACACAGCAAACAGCGTTGTTTGCACAACTATTACAATCTGAACGTAAGTGGCAGAGGCCAGTTTGAATGACTTGTTTTGCAGTGGACACAGCAGAGCTGGTGCTTTGTACAAACGCTGACCACTTAAAATCTGTTTTAATGTGGATCCTTTGGTGTTTCTATCTCCTATGTGGTACATCTGGGAGCTTATCTGTGAGACTTTATGACTTCTGATTCTTGGTTTTTCCTCTGATGGAAATGCTTACACTGTATTTGAAATCTATCTCTACGGCCTTATTTTTTAAGTCCCACGAAATCATTAATTCTCTTTAGTGCCGAGTCACGTGAGAGTATCTCTGGGTAAAACAGAGAGAGGGACAGCTTTCGACCTACTTGAGTGGACACTGATTTCTTTTTTTTTTTTTTTAAAGATTTTATTTATTCATTTGAGAGAGAATGAGATAGAGAGAGCATGAGAGGGGGGAGGGTCAGAGGGAGAAGCAGACTCCCTGCCGAGCAGGGACCCCGATGCGGGACTCGATCCCGGGACTCCAGGATCATGACCTGAGCCAAAGGCAGTCGCTTAACCAACTGAGCCACCCAGGCGCCCAGAGTGGACACTGATTTCTTTTTTTTTTTTTTTAATATTTTATTTATTTATTCATGAGAGTCAGAGAGAGAGAGAGACGCAGAGGCAGAGGGAGAAGCAGGCTCCCCGCCTAGCAGGGAGCCCGTTGCGAGACTCGATCCTGGGACTCCAGGATCATGACCTGAGCCGAAGGCAGTCGCTTAACCAACTGAGCCACCAGGCGCCCAGAGTGGACACTGATTTCTAATAGCTGTTCTCTGAGCGTCTCAGGAGGACTGTTTTGCTCGTATTGTTCTGTTTTCTTCAACGAGAGGCATTTATGTGGTTCAGATAATCATGTCCACCTGGGGGCCCGTGGGGCACAGCTGGGCTGTGAGTCTGGGTTCCTTTGGGCCAGATTTCCTTCTGTGTGTAGCTGTCCTGTCTGCATACAGGCCTCTGCGTTTTGAGGCAGCTGGTCGTGTCCTATCACGTGCTGACCGTGCCTGGAACTTGTGTCCCGCAGCTCGCCCAGGGCTGTTCCCTCCACCTGGCCCAGCGGCTCAGTCAGCTGCTCAACCTCCAGCTCCGGAGGATGCCCATCCTGTCCAAGGAGTCCGCTCCCGGTCTCATCATCGCCACTGGTAAGTCCGCCGTGCTTGTCCCCGCACCGGGGGTTAAGCTATGCCATAGCGATGGCTCTTTGTGGTTTTGAGACATCTTTAGTTGCTAAATATGTCTCAGGCTTTCTGGTTGGGCAAGGTATCGGACATCTTCTTTGACCTCTTCTTGAAATGAAAAGTAATGACTCCCCTTGCATTTTAGGTTCGGTGGGAAAGAACTTGGCTAGCAAGACGAACGTGTACATTTCTAGCAGTGCTGGAGCCCGGTGGCGAGAGGTCAGCTTCCTGCCCCCACCCCCCCGCCTCCCCAGCCCCCATCCCCCACCCCCCAGCCTCCAACCTGGGTTCTGGTTTGTCGGAGAACATGGTCATGCCTCCACCTTTCAGGAACACGTGCAGCCCGTGGTGAGGCCAGTGGCACCAAGTATGACTATAAAATTAAAGAAAGGTACCCAGAGTATTTACCCCAAAGATACAAAAGTAGGGATCCGAAGGGGTACGTGCACCCCAATGTTTATAGCAGCAATGTCCACAATAGCCAAACTGTGGAAAGAGCCAAGATGTCCATCGACAGATGAATGGATAAAGAAGATGTGGTATATATATATACAATGGAATATTATGCAGCCATCAAAAGGAATGAGATCTTGCCATTTGCAACGATGTGGATGGAACTGGAGGGTATTATGCTGAGTGAAATAAGTCAAACAGAGAAAGACATGTATCATATGACCTCACTGATATGAGGAATTCTTAATCTCAGGAAACAAACTGAGGGTTGCTAGAGTGGAGGGTGGGGTGGGAGGGATGGGGTGACTGGGTGATAGACACTGGGGAGGATATGTGCTCTGGTAAGCACTGTGAATTGTGCAAGACTGTTGAATCACAGATCTGTACCTCTGAAACAAATAATGCAATATATGTTAAGAAAAAAAAGAAGAAGAAGGTAGCGGGAGGGGAAGAATGAAGTGGGGGAAATCGGAGGGGTGGACGAACCATGAGAGACAATGGACTCTGAAAAACAAACAGGGTTCTAGAGGGGAGGGGGGTGGGAGGATGGGTTAGCCTGGTGGTGGGTATTGAGGAGGGCACGTTCTGCATGGAGCACTGGGTGTTGTGCACAAACAATGAATCATGGAACACTCCATCTAAAACTAATGATGTAATGTATGGGGATTAACATAAGAATAAAAAAAAATAAATTAAAAAAAAGAAAGGTACCCAGAGCCACACGTGAGCATCAGCTGCACTGATTTTGTGTTCGCACCTTGTAAAGTGGGCTCGTGATGTTGCCAAAAATATTCTTTTGAATCAAAAACAGACCTTCTCTTCCCCTCATGTCTGTGAATTTAACTAAATGCTCCAAGAGGACAAAGCAATGTCTCTTTGCTTAACTTCTTTACCCCTAGAACCTAGCAGTGCTTGGTATGGAGTGGGCACTGCGTAAATATTTGCAGAATCTATCAGCAAATGACCGTGTGGTCGTACCGGTATCTGGTGTGAAACTGGCCATTTCTTGTTGTATCGTAATGAGATAGAAGTCAGGCCTCTCCTCGGTGGGCTGTGCCGGGCAGGCCCTTCCATTTCACCCTGCACTGTGAAAGGAGACTGTTTTTGCCTTAAGTCTGCAGAGCTGCTTTGGGTCCTTAGGCACTGCTGATACCAGTTCTGAGAGTAGAGCTAGTTCTGTGGTCTCCGAACGCTAATTTGGCCTTGGGCATTAGAGAATCGCCAAACTTGTAAAAAAAAAAAAAAAAAAATACTTTCATCAGCCTCCCATGACTTATGAAGGCCAAGGGAAGTACAGTTGGTCTTATTCTGTGGAGGGTTGCTTTTAGGGGTGCTCTGCTGCATATGCGGGGAGCCACCAGGAGAACTCAACAGATCACGGGATAAGAATTTTTTTTTTTTTTAAAGATTTTATTTATTTATTTGAGAGAGAGAGACTGAGAGAGAGCACATGAGACAGGGGAGGGTCAGAGGGAGAAGCAGACTCCCTGCCGAGCAGGAAGCCCGATGCGGGACTCGATCCAGGGACTCCAGGATCATGACCTGAGCTGAAGGCAGTCGCCCAACCAACTGAGCCACCCAGGCGCCCATGGGATAAGAATTTAATTGAGCACCTTCTGCAGGTGGAGCGTGATGGTGGGAGGGATGTGGTTCTCAGAAGGGCCAGCCAGCCTTATGGTGCTTTTTTTTTTTTTAAGGATTTTTAATTTATTTATTGTTGAGAGAGAGAGAGAGCATGAGTGCACAAGCAGGAGCAGCTGCAGGCAGAGAGAGAAGCAGGCTCCCCCCTGAGCAAGGAGCCTAACGTGGGACTCGATCCCAGGACCCTGCGATCATGACCTGAGCCGAAGGCAGCCGCTTAACTGACTGAGCCACCCAGGCGCCCATGGGATAAGAATTTAATTAAGCACCTTCTGCAGGTGGAGCGTGATGGTGGGAGGGATGTGGTTCTCAGAAGGGCCAGCCAGCCTCATGGTGCTTTTTTTTTTTTTTTTAAGGATTTTTAAATTTATTTATTGTTGAGAGAGAGAGAGAGCATGAGTGCACAAGCAGGAGCAGCTGCAGGCAGAGAGAGAAGCAGGCTCCCCCCTGAACAAGGAGCCTAACATGGGGCTCGATCCCAGGATCCTGCGATCATGACCTGAGCCGAAGGCAGCCGCTTAACCGACTGAGCCACCCAGGGGTCCCCTCATGGTGCTTCCTATTGGGAATGCAATATATACACATTCATATTTAAATATGTACTATGTAAAGCATTAATAATACCCAACATTTGTTTGGCTCTGTGCAGTTGACAGAGACCTATCGCATATCTTATCTCCTGTGAGTTAGGGCCTCCCATCCTGCAGGCTGAGGGACCTGGGATCCACACATTGTGCGTGTGCCTACATTAAGAACTGGCCAGTAAGGTGGAGACCATAATTACATATTCGGATGTAAGAGGTTGTTAAGGCCTAGTAGTCAAAAAGGGTGAACGGTTTGGGGTTTTGAGGGCATCCTTGCTCTGCTCCAATGGGAAGGATTAAGCGTCTGCTTTCCCTTTTGAAATAGGGTGTTCTCTCCTCAGCGGATAGGCTTGTGGTTTGTTTGGACCTTCTGATGTTGGTGTAATCTGGGATTTGAACATCTGTGAGTGATTTCCTTCTGGGGAGAAAGCAGGGTCTTGTTCCTCCTCCAGTGAAGTGGTGTCATCTGGCTGATGCTGGGGCAGCTGTCCGTGCCTCCTTCCAGGCCTCCTTCATGCCTGCCAAGAAGCAGCCATCGCACAAGGAACCTTATTTTTGGAAAGAGCAGAAAGTGAAGTAGGGGAGGAGAAGGTTGAGACCGTGTCTGTGCGAGGGGGCATCTGAGTCCCCTTGGGCAGCAGTGTCCGCGTGAGAGGGACAGCCTGGGGGCGTGAGGGGCATAGGTGGTGGCAGGGGAGGGGTGAGGTGGGATGCGGTGGACAGAGGTTGTCTAGAAAATCGGTGGCTAGAATTCTTGTTCCCCTTCCACTACTAATGGGTTTTGCATATTCTCCGATCCTGAGTTCCTTTTCTGCACTTTTCTTCCTTAACAACTTTATGGAGGCACCTGCATATTTAAAGTGTACAGTTTGATCCGAATCGGTCACCATCACTACACCGTCAGCAACACCACAACGAAGACAACAAGCACTTCCATCACTCCCCAAAGCGTCTGCGTTCCCCCTTGTAATCCATCCTTCCCTTTACCTCATGCCTGCCAGATGATTCGTTAGCATTTTCTAGAATTTTATATTGTGGACTCATAATACGCAGTCCTTTGGCCTGGATTCTGTTACTCGTCATGATGATTTTGAAGTTCATTTGTGTTGTTTTATGTATCAGTGGTTCTTTCCCATTTTATTGTTCATTAGTATCCCATTGTAGGGATATTCCACAATTTGTTTATCCATTCATCTGTTGGTGGACATTATAGTTTTTTAGCTATTATAAACATTTAATTACATGCTTATTTTTTAAGATAGACATATATTTTTATTTCTTTTGGGTCGATACCTCAGAACGGAATGACTGGACAGCTTGGTGGGTCTGTGTTTAACTTTTCTTACGGAACGACCAAATTGTTTTCCAAAATGGATTGTACCATTTTACATTTCCAGCAGCAGTGTCTGAGAGTTCTAATAGCTTCAGGCCCACACCAACACTTGGTAGGGTCAGTCCTTTTAATTTTAGACATTTTAATGAGTACACAGTGATATCTCATTATGGTTTTAATTGGCATTTCCTTGGTGACTAATGATGTTGAGCTTTTCATGTGCCCATTGGCCATTTAAAAATCATTTTGTGAAGCGTCTGTTTACATCTTGTACTTATTTTATTTTATTTTTAATTTTTTTTAAAGATTTTATTTATTTATTTGAGAGAGAGAGAATGAGAGACAGAGAGCATGAGAGGGAGGAGGGTCAGAGGGAGAAGCAGACTCCGTGCCGAGCAGGGAGCCCGATGCGGGACTCGATCCCGGGACTCCAGGATCATGACCCGAGCCGAAGGCAGTCGCTTAACCAACTAAGCCACCCAGGCGCCCTACATCTTGTACTTATTTTAAAAAAATGAGTTGTTTGCCTTCTTATTGAGCTGTAAGAGGTTTTTTGAAAAAATGTGTTCTGAAGTTAAGTCTTTTGTTTGATATCTGTGTCATGAGTGTTTTCCCTAGTCTGTGGCTTGCTTTTTTAAAATTTTCTTAATGGTGTCTTTCAAAGAGCAAATGTTTTAAATTTTGTGGAAGTCCGATTTATCAGGATTTTTCTTCTATGTTTTATGCTCTTTGTTGTTCTAAGAAATGTTTGTCCCTCCGAAGTTTGCAAAGATTTACCCCTAAGTTTCATAGGGGAAGGCTGTGGTTTAGGTTTATGATCCATTTTGAGGTAATTTTTATATCTGGTGTGATGGAAGGGTTGATACTCATTTTTCCATATGGAGATGTAATGATCCAGCCCCACTTACGGAAAAAGACTTCTTTCCCCCCTTGAATTGACTGTGTGCCTGTTTGAAAATCAGTTGGCCATATGCATGGGTGTGTTTCTGGACTTTCTATTCTGCTCCATTCGTCTATATGTCTGTCTTTTCACCTATACCAAGCTGTCTCGATTATGGGAGACTTAACGTAAGTGTTGGGATCAAGTAGGTAAGTCTTCTAACTTTGTTCTTCTTCCTCTTCTTTTTTTTTTTTTTTAAAGATTTTAAAATTTATTTTGGAGAGAGAGGGTGAGCGAGCAGGGGGAGGGGCAGAAGGAGAGGGAGAGA